CATTACTAGAGGCCACAGGCGATATCCAAACCGAGAATTCAACAGTTGTTTTATAAGTACAACGAGTTTAAGGTTGTACGGTTACTTCCCCAATTGAAGTTTGTTCAAAGCACAACATTATTCTCAGACTGATATATCCATCTACATATTTTCAGTGATATTTTAGCAGGGATCCAACACTGGACAACATATCTCATAATGATGAAATAACCGCTTCCATAATGAACACTCAGATCATCATTCTTAGTGTGAAAGAACTAGTCTTGTAAAGTATCACAGCTTTTATCCCTCCAGTTTAAGTAAACGTTTCTAAAATGATTACTTTTGCTTTCAACTCTTCTCTTTATCCAACATTGATTTCACAAAGAATAATTCGTTTACACAACATTTGTCAATGATGTTTTGAATGGAATAATTCTTCCTGTAAGATCCATTTTGATGGTTTTGTGTGTGTGTGTATGTGTGCGAAAAACCTTCCATGTATACATTTGTAGTTTGTTTCTATTGTTGTTCGTTTAGTTGTACATTTTGTTATTCTTTTTGATTCCATTTGAATTGGTCATATTTGTATTTTATAATAGTTCTTATTTTTCTTACGCCTTCACTAAGTTTCCATGTTTCTTGCTGAACTGCATTTATGTTGTGTTTACTTGATACTAAGTCTTGGCAGCAGCCATATTGGTTTGTTCCTACTTTTGATTATGTTGCTTGTATTGACTAGAATTTTGCATTTTTGATTGTGAATTGAAGCACACCTCCAGAATTCGAAACATTCTGTGTTATAAAGCAATCAAATAGTATCTTTTGAACGAATCTGTGCGTGATCCAACCAGACAGGATGGAATAACATTGATTTGTTGCGATTGGTAAATTTTGCTCATTCATTATCCACTTTCTTACTTATTGTAAATTAGATTTGATTCATTGAACAATTATTGGCTGAATAGCTGGGTGATCATATTTGTTTAGGTATAATGAATTTCAGAAATATCATTTTAACCAATCACATTGTTTTGCTTTCAACCGGGCAAGGGCGCGTATCTTACCCACCTAGACAGTTATTCTTCAGTCCAAACCTTAGTTTGCATCTAACACTTCCAAGAATTTGTACGTTAATTAAAATGAAGTATCTTTCAAATTACGAAAAAAAAACTTATGTACCAGAAAATTTACGAAGTTATAGAAGGTTTCTAACATCATTCAGATTTTCTCTAAATGGAGTGTTAGCGTTAATACTGGAATATATGTGAGACTATTCTTTTTCTAACAAAATTTTCATTATAACGTCATCCCGCGGGTTGCGGGATCGTGGATGCGCATTGCTGAGGAGTCCCATACTAGGATGAAACGGCCGTCCAGTGCTTCCAGGTTTTCCATGGTGATCTAGTTTCAATTGCCTCGTGATTTCAAGCTGTGGAATTTCTAAAAATCTCCACAAAACCCCTTCTGAAAATGTCTATTTGTCTTTTCCACTGATCACTTTCCCTGTCGAGAATATAATTTATAGACGGGCCAATCGGATTTCGCATAACAGGTCTTGAATTCGGGCACGAAATTCACTCATTCATTCGGTCATATAGAGCGTCTTGGCATTTTAGCTGATGTCAGTTCGTGATGAAAAACCATGATTCTAATTCCTAACTCTAACCATCAATAGTGAATCATAATCCATATTCTTCAAACTGCTTTACAACTCTGATTTAGCCCTAGTAGATAGGTAGACACTGTCAAGATCAGCTTGGTGTAGGAGTAGGTTGGAAGAAAACTAGAGGCGGCTAAACCAAAACACGGCACAAATCCATGAAGTCACTGACAACTGGACTGAGCCATGTTGGTAGATGTAGACTACCTGTTTCGGAATTCACGAGACGATAATAACCGATCGTGAGAGACCTTGAATAACATGGCTCAAAATTCGTTTGCAATAATGCAGGTGCATTCACTCTTTGTCTTCACCCATATTTCAATCTTCTGAATTCTTCCAGTTCCTTTATTTTTTCTCTTTCCGAACTTATTTCACTCGGTCATACTCCTTGAATAAAATCTTCAAAACTTAGTGTTCCCGATTACTGCTTATACTTTTACTACGTCTACCACTATGGGATTTGAATCGACAACTGCATCTCTGTGCTAATGTGGTATGGCAAATTGAACTAATGTACGTACGTACGAAGTTCTACGTTGTTGCTGACTGACTGATAGCTATTCACCAGTTTAAACCTAACCTTTGCATATAAGAAACAGTTCGTTCAGTCCTTCATTCTCCCATGATCTTGACCTACCTTTCAATCTTCCATAATCGATTGTTTGCTTGTTTTTTAAGACAAAGAAAGATTATTTGTACTCCTTTCCACTATTAATTCACCATTATGACACCTTCTAATTACTTTGTTCTTGTTACCTATTAAGTGGACAATTATCTTCACCGTATCTCTTTCCACTACCCCATTGATACATAACTTCTATTCAATATCTGATTTTCATAAATCATTCTGATAAGTCTTGCAGATTGAACGCTATATTCGTTTCCTAAACTATTCTGTAACCCCCAAGCTAGAACTATACAGCGACGTGAACAACGCGATATAAGATGCAAAGTATGCTAGAAATACTTTACTCCAAAGTTCATTTCAATACAAAAAATACGGGTTTTTTCTCTTTTAAATGTCCTTGGGCTGCTAGAAGATTCTGGAATGCTACTAAACATAGTAGCAGTGTAGCAATCAGAACCTCTGCACCGGGCATTTCACTTCCTTGATATTTTTGGCTAAAACTTCAAGCGAGCACTGATTGAATGAAACGCTTCTTAGCGTTTTCTGATGCTTGTTTGCGTTTTGCAAGAAATTTCCTGGATCACTCCAACACATTCATGTCAAAGCAACACTTCAAGTTGTTGTTTTCATTATTCAACATCATTCTATATTATTATAGACTACTAGTATTAACTATACATAGGATTGTATGGAAAATTCTCTTCGCGGAATTGCTTTTGGTAAACTGCACCGTTATTAGAGAAAATTTCCTTTTCTGAATCACATAAAAATGCCAAAATAGATACCTTTCATAGTTTGAAACAAATGTATCAATCATATTCTCATATTAACTATTCTATACCAGATCCCAGTGGAGGAAAAAGCGCTGGAAATGGATAGGACACACATTGAGGAAAGCACCAAACTGTGTGACAAGGAAAGCGCTCACTTGGAATCCTCAAGGTCAAAAGAGCAGATGAAGACCAAGAAACACATTACGCCGAAAAATGGAGATAGACATGAGAAGAATGAACTACAATTGGGTAGACCTAGAAATAAAGGCCCAGGACAGAATGGGTTGGAGAATGCTGGTCGGCGGTCTATGCCCCATTGGGAGTAACAGGCGTAAGTAAGTAACGTTGAGAGTCAGATGTTTTAAACTGATTCATATAACAGAACCATTGAATAAATTTTACAGTATTATTATTATCATTAGGCGAATCAAATAATATATATTGTATAATGAGTTACCGGATACTTTATTGAATTAAAGATGTTACGTATTTCATTTCGTCAATATAGTTCTAAAAAGGATAATTTCATGAAAGATAATGATTTTCGGCCACGGAACAACAACTTTTATCTTAAATTGTCCAGAAAGGTTTATTCCCCCTCTATCTCGAACCCAGGACCACGAACGCATAACCAGTATCCAAAAGTGTTAATGTCTAACTTCGATCAACACATGATCATGTGCAACACTTCGTCGATTGTCTGAGATAGATACCTGTCTCTACTCGACGCACCTTCTCATTACAACCCCAGGAGTCCCATCTTGAAGCTAGTCACTGATGAGCACATGATCGTTAGTGTGGGAACGTCTGTTAACCGCGAGGTTCTGTGACAGTGTATGTCATTGAAAGGCGCACCCCAGAAGTACATAAACCTTGTAAAGGCTCTTTACTCGGACACTACTAGTGGAGTCAGAGCTTATGGCGAACTGTCATTTGATTTTGCAACATCAAGTGGTGTCTGTCAAGGCTGTCCACTTTCTCTATTTTTGTCTAACTTCATCATAGACCTACTGATGGAAATAATGTTCTCGTCGATTGAATTCTTGGGCACTGATCTCCTTCCAACAGGTCCACTAATCGACTGACAATACGCAGCTGATATAGTACTGTTTGGTGGAGACATTGATTAAGTGCAGTCTTTTGGTAGCACTGAGCAACAATGTCAGAATGTCTGAAATGAGTTCCTCCCTCTCTAAATGTAAGTCGTTGCTTCAGGACTGGCCTGCATCAACAACTGAACTAAGGATAGGGAGTGAAGTAGTCGAACTCGTTGACAACTTCACTTATCTTGGAAGTCTGATGGGTTGGTGTCTAACGAAATCTGAGCGTCACCTCTGCCGAAGGAGAAGTATCAGTCTATCAATTAAGGGACAAATATGCTGTGCAGTAGATCGTTCTGTTCTACATTACGGCTACGAAATGTGGCCATTAAGGGTAGAAGATACTCCTAAGCTACTATTATTTGATCACAGATGCCTTAGAAATACTGCTCATACATGCTGAAATCACTAGGGTAAATAATGGCAAGGTTAGACGCACTGTATTAGATAATGATGGTAAGTCAGTTGATGAGGTTGTAATTCTTCACCAACTGAGATAGTTGGATCACGTGTTACGTATGCCTGAACACCGATTACCACGACGCGCAATGCTAACCGGTGTTAGGGATGGTTGGAAGAAAGTTAGGGGCGGCCAAACCAAAACGTGGCATCAGTGCTTGAAGTCACTAACTTCTGGTGTGAGCCATATTCGTAGATACAGACTACTTGGACCGATGTATATATGTGCCTGGTTCTACATTGTAGCTGACTGACAACAACGAGTCAGCCATTCAATGCTTCCAGGTATTCCATAGTGGTCTAAATTAGATCGATTCATGAATTCAACTGTAAAAATTCAAATTTCACCAACATCCATATATAAATATATGATTATTATTATTATTATTATTATTATATTCAAATGATTATAACCAAAATGTTAGAAGTAGTAGTAGTAGTACTACTACTACTACTACTCAAGTATACAGTAGTATTGATAATGTTAATAGAAATTTTTATATAAAAAAAAACCGAAAAAAAAGAAGGAAAAAAAAAGCGAAATCTTCTACTCAATTGATAAATTTAAGAAAATATCAACATGATAAGTGAATGGATACATGAATGTTTACAAAGGAAAAACAAACAAACAAACAAGTAAGTAAGTAAACAATTAACCAAACATCATCACTTTACTTGATTGAATTTAACCATATTCAAAACCAGCATTTGCATTTAATGCATATAATAAACGTTCACGTAATAATTTTATATTACGAAAATTAGGTAATTTTAATAAATTTGTACATGTACTTGCAGTTGGTAAACGTTCAATTTCATCAGTAATTTGTATTGAAAATGGTGGTTGTAATTCACGAAAACCAAACATTGGTGGACGTGAACATGCAGTAACAAAACGTAAAAATGAACGTTTATCAGATTCTGAAAAATTATGTAATACTGACCAAAAACAATCTAATGTTTCAGTATAATTTAATGAATCTTGAAAAAAAAAAGAAAGAAAAGAAAAGAAAAAGTTATGATAAAGAAAAACAAAAAGAAGAAAAATTGTTTTATAATGATGATGAGAAATTTATTGAAGCTGCTTGTTCGATTCTTGAAGTAATAATAACATTTAAAAACAACAACAGCAGAAAAGATTTGATTTAAGAACATCTAAACACCCTGGTAAAGCCGAGGGTGGGGAGAGTCAACTCTCCTTTTCAAAATGCTCTCAAATGACCACTTGGTTAATACAACCACTACCAGGGACGTCCTATTCACTGACTTTCCACAGCGGACGGGGGTGTTGTTTATGAAATTGAGAGGACGGAAACAGAATGTCTGGTGCTTTAACCGGGTTGGTGGACAGGGAGAGTTGGAAAAGCCTGATTCGAAATCAATAGCGCACATGGACTCCAGGATCCTAAGGAAACAAATGGAATATGAACCAATTGTTGGTGATCGGCTACAATGAGACTACGTCTCCTGACGTTGCTTCACCGCCTCGTGGATTAGACCTTTAGGTCAAAGGCTCGGAGTGTGGCCCCTTAAAAAACCACCTGCTTCTGTTTGGGCACCCGGGCAGTATCACAGTCCACATACAAATCAAGTGACTTATCTGGCGCATATGTATTCGGCGCCCCTTCGTATCAATATTTATGTGTTCAAATAATAATACAATAAACAAAATGATAATTTGATCCAAGCACTGTCATTTATTTTTCACATTCTAACTTGTTTTAATTATCATCTCATTTAAGAATTGTTGTTCGTTCATGTGGTATGGGATAACAACAACGACAACTTGAATACGAGAGAAAAGGTGTGAAATGTGAGAAGAACGCTTTACCCCAAGGTTAGTTTATATACAGAAAATCGAAGGTATTTGTAACATTTCAGATGACCATGGGCATCTCGAACCCTAATAAACATAGCAGAACGATAGATAATCATCGAGTCAGAAATATGTTTCTGAGTAACCTCGATTCAATGCTGATTGCATAAAAAATTTTCTCAGCGTTTCCAAGGTCCATTTGGACTCTTTTTCGAAGAATATTCTGGGTCTTCTAAAAAATACCAAAGAGACCGTAGATGTTCTAATTTCTGTCGACACATGTGATAAACAAACGCTTCAATTTTACATTCATCTTAGCAGTATCCGCTGTCTTCATTGATTTAAATGAAAATTATAAGTGTACATACCGATGCCTTTAGTGTATCATAAATTATAGACAGGAAATTATTTACTATCATCTCGACTGAAGATTGTCCAAACCATAGAGTGATCTGATGATACACTTATAAACAACTCGATTAGGTGTTATAATCATCATGGTTGTGAAATCCATTCAAACATCAAATATAACATTGCTAACTATACAGAAGTACAAGCCAATAAAGCATCTTTATTGTTCAACGGTACAATGCGATTATAAATCAGCAGATAGATGAGCACATTCGTTTGGTGGATAACAAACTCGCCTCTAATAGCGATAGATACATAATTTAAATCTCAGTGTGAACATTAAGACTGAGATAAGGATAAATCTAGCTGAACTGAATGTCTATCCTGGAGATCCAACTGTTTAACAAAAGTCAAATTCATCAGCAATTAAAAAATCTATCAAGCAGCTGTTCGTGGTAAGGTAAACACACATAAGAGGAGATTGATCAATTACAATCTTAATTATCAATTGCTTTCAACTATTTTCATGTCCATTTGATCAAACAAATTCCAAAATTATTAGGTTTACATGTTTCTTTTATCTTAACCCTTTAATGATTCTTTTGCATCAGGGCCTACAAATTCATTTTATATTAGTTTTTCTCATACTTCTTGGCAAACAAACATTAGTGACTAGCTTCGTGAGAAAATTCTCAGAGTTCTGGTGAGAAGCCGTGACCAGTGGAGCTAATACGTGTCGGGGAGAGATAGGTATCTACCTCAGTACAATGGAGGATCATCGCGCAACTTCGTGGATTGGATGAGGTTAGACATTAACACCATTGGATGCCAGCCGGCTCAATGGTCCAGTAGGTCAAGCGTTCGCGAACGAGACCGAGGGCCCCGGGTTCGGGCCCCGCGAGCAGAATCGTGGATGCGCACTTCTCAGGAGCTCCACAATAGGACGAAACGGCCGTCCAGTGCTTCTAGGTTTTCAATGATGGTCTAATATCAATCGGTTCATGATCTCAATCAAAAGATTTATGAAATGTTATCAAATTATATTACTGACAAGTAACTAATCATTTTTGTTCACTTTTTTTATCTAATCATCTCTAGAAATCAGATCAGATGCATTGGTTTCATTTGTATTGGTTAATGCAATTAATGATGATTAACTGAATGGAATCTCATGTGTAATTTCCTACCACTGAGGAGTTTCATTGAACCATAATGAAAAAGAAGGTATTTCATTTCTGAATATTCAACTCTTCTTTTAACATTAGTGATGCAAATTATTTTCGTGTAATTTATATTATTTGTTCAATGAAATATCAAAATGAGTATCTGTATTGATGCGTTTAGTGAATGTGAATAAAATCGGTTTTCATCACATCGAATGGTCAGACTTAGTTCCTAAATTATAGTGTTTAATCTTGAATGACTATATCTGTATGGCAATGAGAATGATCAAAAATTTCAAACAAATATTAATTTCAATGGTTGAGATCATGAGTCCATTGACCATTGAAATTACTAATAATATACACAAAACCCTTCTGATATTAATCAACATATGCTCACTAGTAACTGGATTCAAGAGGTATAACCTGGAGTTATAGTGAGAAGCGGCGATCAATGGAGTTCAATCGGGTCTGTTGTGAGATAGTAACTCACTGATGACAATGGTGGATGTGTGGCTCAATTGCGTGGACTGATTGAAGTTAAACATTAACACCGTTAGGTGCCAGTCGGCTCAGTGGTCTAGTGGTTAAGTGCTCGCGTGCGAGACTAATAGGTCCTGGGTTCGAATCTCGCGGGGCGAGGTCGTGGATGCGCATTGCTGAGCCCTACAATAGGACAAAACGGTCGACCAGTGCCTCCAGGTTTCCATAGTGGTTTAGCTTCAATTGACTCATGATCTCAACCGCTGAAATTACTATAATACCAACAAAACCCTTCTGATATAAATATTAATTTCTAAGTAACATTTCGATAGTTGCTAGCAATGGAATCCAGGATATGGGTTTTGTTCTATCTCGGACAAATCAACTGGATATATTTGTAGTCTGATGTTGATGTTCACATTAAGACCAAGACATCAATGCCTTTCACTTCAAACACCCGCTGTTAGCCACAATCAAAACTCCATTTAAAAATATTGGTAAATTAATTTATGTGTATTGAGATAATCTGACCAGGTTTTATATATGCCAAAAGGAGACAGATCAATTGTAGTCGTCAACATCAACTACGGTACCATACCGCTTGTTATTTCGACTGTCTGACAATACAATTTTTTGAATTTCCTCTTGCTCTCTCTCTCTTCGAAGTATTGATGTAATGTAAAAGTATAGCTTGGTGAACAATGAGTACTTCAACCAATAAGTCACTATCACCAACCATTGCTTTAATAATAACATTTCAACGTATATACATACATACATACACACACATAAACAGATAAATTAACATATTGTGACATACTTCCAATGTAGAATGTATGCTGTTTTAAATCATTCACATCGATTACCATATCTGCTCCAGATATAAGAGTTTGTAATTCTTCTGCATCAAAAAGACGTACCCAATCAATTGGTATTACATCATTTAATCCAGCAGTAAAAGCTCGTACTTGTGGATAAATCTTAAGTTGAAAAATTATTACATGTCAATAAAATTCATGCAATAATAGTTGTAAACAAACAGAATAGTCTCATAGATGATATATTTACAATTCAACAAAATATATCAATGATAAATAGAAGATAAAATTATAGCCAGATACCTAAGAATTTTTAAGGTATCATAAAAATAGTATTTGGTTGTGGAGTGTTTGAATGAGATTGGTTTAGTTTATCAGTCAGTCAGTAACCAAGTAGAACTTCGTACGTACATACATTAGTTCGAGTTCCCATACCACATTAGCACAGAGATGCAGTGGTCGACTCAAATTCCGTAGTGGTAGAGGTAGTAAGAGTATAACTAGTAATCCAAAACACTAGGGTTTGAAGATGTTATTCAAGGAGTATAATCCAGTGAAACAAATTTGGAAAGAAAAAATGGACGTGAATAGTTCAGATTAGAATTTGGGACAACGCAAAGAGTGGATGCACCTGCGCACACCATCGCAAACGATTTTGAGCCATGTCATTCAGTGTCTCTAACCATCGGTTGCTATAATCTCGCGGTCCCCAACCAAGTAGTCTACACCTACCGGCATGGCTCAGTCCACTTGTCAGTGACTTCATGAACTTGTGCCATGTTTTGGTTTAGCCGCCCCTAGTTTTCTTCCAACCTACTCCTATAACCACTGAACATCACACATCGAGGCAGTCGGTGGTTGGGCATACGTAACACATGTCCCAATCATCTCAACTGATGGAGTTTCACCACTTCATCAATTGATTTGCCATCCTTAACTAGTACCCGTTTCCTAACAACTGGATTACTTACTCGGTTGTTCCAAGATATACGATCAGTGATTCGAAGACACCTATGATCGGATACTAGTAACCCACGAATATCCTCTACTCTTACTGGCCATGTTTCACTGCCATAAGGTAGGACGAGACGAACTGCTGCGCAGTAAACACGTCCTTTGGTTGATAGACGGATATCTCGCCTACGCCATAAATGACGCAAGTTGTCAAAAGCTAATCGAGCCTTCTGTATCTGTGCTGAGTTTTCGTCACACACCAGACCACAAGGGCTGATGAGACTTCCAAGATGAGTGAAGTGGTCGACAATTGACTGACCACTGAATCATGGAGCTAACGAGTACCAGGCATCACGATAAATATATTTAAATTTTTCTGTCAGATATCTTCCAACCAACTACTAACTTGATCTCAAATCATTGAAAGTAATAGCTAAAACTAACTTGCCAGGAGAGAGATAGATAGGTGTTGATTGAATGTTTAGAATATACATGTCTAACTAATTTCATGTTACATATAAGCTGACAACTTAATACATCTTATCCATAGGTATTAAATACGTGGTAAGTGTAAAGAAACGATAAAGAATTTGTATAATTTTCAATTGAAATGATGTTGTAGAAAGTATGGAATAAATATTCTGAAGTTATTCACTACAATACTAAGTAACATCAGCTTAAAGATAAATTTGTCTAATGGAGTTTCAGACTGTCGTGAACGAAGAATTCAGGTGGAGAATATCAATTTATTATGTGTAAATATGAAAACCATACATTGAAATACATCATTTGTACATCTTTCATCAGTTATCTCTCTTACAAACTTCATCTTTTCTTCATTCTTATTCTCTTCAATTTGACCATTTCAATACTGACTTGTAGTTTAAATTTACTACATATTGTGATTGAGGTATCATTGAAAAACAAAAGAATATTAAACAGTTAATTTGTTTTATTATAAGAAAGTTTCGCAGTGTAAACCTATGACCATCGGGTTTTATTACAGATACCTAACTATTAAAAATACTTAGTGAGTGTTCAGTGATATTAGAGTTTTAACTTCGATTAATTTGTCATAATGCTCAACGAACAAAACTGTTTCAATTACAACATTTCGGAACTCTGATAATTATTACTTCTCACTAGAGCTTCTATGATCATTTTAAAGTTATTTATTTATTTATTTGAACATATAGATATTGGTACAAGGAGGCACCAAATACATATGCACCACACAAATATCATTCGATATGTGTGAGGGCTGTGATACTGCTCGGGTGCCCAAACAGAAGCAGGTGGTTTTCCTAAGGGACCACACCCCGAACCTTCGACCTAAAGGTTTTATCCGCAACGCAGTGGAGCATCGTAAGGAGATGCAGTCCCATGTTAGCCGGTGACCAACGATTGGTTCGTACGCCATTTGTTCCCTCAGAATACTGGAGCCCATGTGCACCATTGATTTGGTTTGGGATCCGGTAAAAGCGTTGGACATTCTCTTCTCGTCTTCTCAATTTCGTAAACAACACCTCAACCACGAGACGGCAGTGAGTAGGACTTCCCTGGCAGAGGCTATATAGGCGTGGCCATGTGAGAGCATTTCGAGAGGGAGAGCGGACTCTCCCCACTCTCCGCCGTACCAGGGCATTTGGGCGCTCATTTTAAAGTAAGTTACTAATCAGCTGAATACTATAGTTCATTTGAAGTAATTTCATAAAAGTTAGCTTAATTTATAGGTTTCACTTATCACAGAATAATAGTAAAATCACCTGTAAATAAGACTGAATTCCATAAAATCTTTTCAGTAAAACTAGATAAGTCGTATAAGTAGAGATAGATTATGGCTAGCAGTGAAATGCAGGACGCACAATTCGTCCCATTTTGCACTTGTCAGCTAGATGTACTCATATCCCAATCAACAGATAATTAATTCACATCGGAAGGGGCTTTTTGTGTATAATATAGTAATTTTAATAGTTGAAATCATGAGTTAGTTGAAGCTAGACCACCATGGAAAACCTGGAAGCACTGGACCGCCGTTTTGTCACGTTGTGGGACTCCTTAGCAATGCGTATCCACAATCCCGCCTCGCTAGATTCAAACTCAGGACATATCGCTCTCGCGCGCGAACGTTTAAATAGCCCAGCATCCCACGGTGTTAATGTTTCATTTCAACTAAACCCCTTCTGATATTAATCAATATATGCTCACTAGTTACGGTCTCCAAGACGTATTTCCTGGAGTTCTAGTGAGAAACAGTGACCAGTGGATTTCAACCATGTCTGTTATGAGATAGTAACTCACTGAAGACAATGATAGATGTGTCGCTCAATTTCATGGATAAGTTGAATTTAGACATTAACACCGTTGGATGCCGTCCAGCTCACTGGTCTGGTGGTTAAACGTTCACGCGCGAGACTCATAGGCCCTGGGTTAGAATCCAGCAAAGCGAGGTCGTGGATGTGCACTACTGAGGAGTCTAACAATAAGACGAAACGGCCATTCACTGGTTCTAGGTTTTCCATGGTGGTCTAGCTTCAAATGATTCATGATTTCAACTAGTAACATAAATAATTCTTAGTAATTTTATGTCAAAGTAACAACAACCAACAACAAAAAAACTCACCATTTTATTTAATTTATAATTCGCAATTAAATGTACATATTCAACACGATTTTCTTCAGTAACTGGTATATGTTTACCACCTGGTTTCAATTCGATCGTTTCAGATTGACCAAAAATTGATTGAACCATAGTGAAATCTAAGGATAAATCTCGTACATCCCCTTTGTAATTTTTTAAAAATAATAATTGTCTATTGAGAAAGAAAAATATGAAAATATAAGAAATAAACAACAAGCGATTGATTGAATAAGATTATTATACATTCAGTCAGTCAGTAACAACGTAGAACTTCGTACGTACGTACATCAGTTCGAGTTGCCATACATTGATTTCAATTCAATCTGAATTGTTTATCATCTTAATGATGAATTATTAAGAACTGTGAAACAAATATAGAAAAAATTCTATGAAAACACTAAAATACTTATACTGTGGGGGTGGTGTTGAGTGTTGTTAGAGGTATGAGGGCGGTTATCACTCATGGATTGCGCACATTGTGGAAAGGTTCTCATAGAGGTACCTGAAAAGAAAATTGGGTCGGAGGTGACGTGACCACAGTGCCCAAGGGATAACTGCTTGAGACCGGTTACACTCGACCATTTTGTGAGTAACTTTCGTGTTGAGACCTGACCGAGGGAGACGAAAATCTGTGGGATAAGGCGATGCGTGCATTTTTAAGGCGGACATTTTCTAAATGCGCCCTTCCTTGTGAGAAGGCAGCATCGCTGTTATGGGATTGTTTAAGGGAAACACCTTACTGCCGTCACAGTTCTTTACAATCAGGAGTACAACTTCGCCCTCGAACCTCGAGTTTGCTGTTTTTATTCTTACCGCTCTTCAACCGGCCTGGATGGCATGGCAGGACATTGAGGAACGATTGTTCCAGCCAGTATAGCCCAATCGGTCCATCACGATAGGCAAGTCTGGTCACCATGTCAAGGTAGCTGCGATGGTCGGGATACTATGAGAGGTCAGTTGAAGCTTGTAAAGATCACTGATAACATTGAATGACATATATAGGAATGCAGGGTTGATGGAAATTTCGATATTACAGAGCTTATCAGCTTGCTTATAGGTACAATTGAATGAGTAATGACGAAAGTTTAGTTTGTCTAGTCTTTAAGTGTTGATTAAATCCTGTCGACCAATTTGCAGAAGGAAAATAGGTTCCCTTCAAGACTAAAGAAAAACCTTGCTGACGAATGACAAATACTTCAAAACCTAAGTTCAGGATTTTGTTCTCCGATTGTTTCTAACTATTTACATAGAAGGAATTTCTAATGTACTTCTCAATAGTTGGGTAGTAGTTGCAAGTCTTAGTATAATAACCAAAACGTTTCACGTTGATATAGATTCTGAATGCTGATCATATCTGTTCTAATGACTTGCTAGGTGATTTCTAGACTCAAAAAAAAAAGATTTCCACTTCAACGAAACCATGAAGGAAATATGAAACAGGCTTTATATTTAATCTTAGTGTAGTTACAAAATAAAAAGGAGATATGTGAGATTATCAGTAGCATCCTTAGCATTTAGAAACATATGGAATGGATACGAATATTAGTAGTAAATCTGCTTAAAATGAAAAATATTTCTACATTTATTGCTCAAAAAACTACTTACTTATACAATTGAGGATCAAGTGAATGTAGATAATCAAAGCCAACTCCGCCACCGCCACTTCGACTAACAATTTTCGCCAAGAAGAAATAAGCGAACTGAAGTTCGACAAGCACACCTTCGTAAATTGCCTACAATTGTATGAGTGGGTATACACAGAAAATATATTAGTAATATCTATAAAATAGAGAAAATGTAAAATCTGAGGTATAATTCACTTATTATTTACTTGGATCTTCCCCTTGATGTTTAGAACTGTAATTGGTCAGTCTCTTATTGGCATATGCGCATACTGCGAGTATTGCCTCGATATTGCCGTAATTCACAAGCACTATAATCAAAGATGGATAGTGACTGACAGCAGAATCCAGTTTGACGCGCGTTTCATTCTATTTAGGACCAGTCAGCTGGATGTACCTGCACCCAAGAGTTGATATTCACTCCAGGACTCAGTGGCGAACGATACTAGGTTCGAGTCCCGGAGTGAACATCAACTCTTGGATACAGATGCATCCAGCTGACGAGTCTCAAATAGGGTGAAACGCACGTCAAACTGGATTCCACTACTAGCCACTGATATGATGGAAAGAAAAGTCAATTTTTGATTGATTTACTGATTATAAATTTTGTTCAAGATTACTTCCGTTTTGATTCAATGCAATGATTACTCAATGTAGTATTTGTTTTCTCTTTCCCGTATGATATTTTATTCTGTATAATATACGATATTCTTGTATTCCATTGACATGAACTATGCTCAGTATGTGATTTTTTATAACTCTAAGTATTTTTCATGTATGTGGTTTCATCCTAATTATTAATCAAAATGGGTGTACAAACAATATATAAATGAGTGTATTTTCGACTAGAGTCGTCGTCGTCATAGTGTTTTGGGTTAATAAATCATCACTTATACCAGTCTTTGTCTTCATACTTTCGCATCGTGGGAATAGCAGAGGTCTCTCGTGCCGAGTATAAGTAATAAGCGTTTCCGACATAACAATCAGCGACGACCAAATACAAAAAGTAGCACTAAAAGAGCCAAGACAATAAACATTCAAACGACAAGTTATAACAGCCACTATCCATATTTGCTTATAAGGGTACAATGTTTAATTACTTAATATAGATATAGAGGTAAGTGTTTATCATAATAGAGTACTGTAGAGAAGAGGGAAAAGGATCCACTAACCAATGGAAACCGAAAAAAAAACATTGAAATTAAGCCAAGAAATTTCAAGACAATTAAAGTGTTAGAGGGGTATAGACAGGGTTAAAGTATGTTCCGGAAACGCTGGTTTGTTTTTCCCTAACCAATTGGTGCTAGCGGAGACTTAAAGATTCTAGAATCTTCATATGCAAAAACTATAAATATACTAACGTATTTCTTATTGGGATTCCTAATTCCACCCAACCATCTTCATTTGTAATACAATTACCTTCCTATTCAACCATGTAATAATTTCGGGACTTGTCGAGTGAAGTAATGTTCAAGAATATTAAACAACAGAAGTAACTCAGTCGTAATAAGAGAAAACATAACAAAAGGACAACGAAAAAGATAATGAAATAACGAACAGAAAAAATAATGAATAAATGAATCATCAGAATCAATAGTAAACAAAGATATATTCCCTTATTATCGAAGGAACCTCATGTTGTCGGATGGATATCAGTAGACCTTCAGTGACAAAATTGGTTAAACACAGTATATTATATACTTCATACAACTAAATTGTAGCACAAAACTGATAGATGATACATACACAAATATAACACATCTGAAATGGATCCTATTTCACTCATAAAGTCAGCCAGTCTGTAACAACGTAGAACTTCGTACGTAAGTACATCAGTTCGAGTTCCCATACCACATTAGCACAGACATACAATTGTCTATTCAAATCTCATAGTGGTAGAGGTAGTAAGAGTATAAGCAGTAATCGAAAACATTAGGGTTTGAAGATGTTATTCAAGAAGTATAATCCAGTGAAACAAATTCGGAAAGAAAAAAGGGACATGAATAGTTCAGAAGATTACAATTTGGGAGAACACAGAGAGTGGATACAATTGCGCCATCGCAAACGATTTTCAGCCATGTCATTTAGGGTCTCTAACCATCGGTTGCTATCATCTCGCCGTCCCCAACCAGGTAGCCTACACCTACCAACATGACTCAGTCCACTTGTCAGTGACATACTCATAAAGTATATTTAATTAAAATTGTATTAAAATATTAAACAAATGAATAACCTTTGCTAAAATTCTTCCTAAGAAATAATAATGCTTTAAATAATCCAATGTAATTGCAGATGCTTGTGGATTTGGATATAAAGTTTTATCTGATGCATAAATAAAAAATCCTCTAGTTGGATCAAAACCAGCACGTATAATTTCAGTAAGAAATTCTCTTGATAAACCACCACCATCAATACCAACTTCAGCTAAACCAGTTGGATTTAAAAAGGTCACTTTTAAACGTTGACGTAAATTGGGTACTGCAAAATAAATTTTTTAAAAAAAAAAATTTTTGTTTTAGATTGAAGGAGTTTCAGGGGGCAGATTGGTTTAATTTTTACGTTATATTTATCATAAATTGATCTCATTTAAGAGTACTAGTAAGATCTGAGTAGTAGTCCTGAATATGATCCTTTGTGGGTTGTGAATGCATATTAGCGAAGAGCAATACACTAAGAAGAGACGGTTATCCAGTGATAAATAATTCTCAGGTGAACGCTGAAACCAATTTAAAAACAAAAGATGATGAATCGGGAATAAAAAGTTATCCGTTTTTCCGTATCCGTTTTTCAAATACAGAATTGAATGCATTGATCGTACGATGTTTTATCTAAAGATCGTACATAATCAACAGATGATTGAATAAACTAATTAGATTTAGTTTGGTTAATAAAATTTGAATCTTAAAACTGTGAAGAATGAAATAAAGAACAACATTGGAATCGTATCTAAATTGCATTCTAAAATATGCCTGAAGACTCCAGGATCAAAAACCAAGGAGTCGTAATGAAGTAATATGAGCTAGTATTACATTAGCTATTTTTTACTTTACAGTCATTTGTTAGTCAGTCCTCAAAGACGGGGAATAATACAAGATATGATAATCACAGAATTCAGTAATCGCCAAAGTTATTATTCCATAACTCCATTTAGAAATCATGATTTCACATGAACGTGATTAATCGTTGTAAACTCATCAGCTGGATATACCTGAATCTAAGTGTTGATGTTCACATTGAGGCTCGGACCTAATAATCTTGTCCTGTAAACACCAGCATCAGAACTGAGATGGATATATATATATATATATATATATATCCAGCTGACGAGTCGTAAATTAGACAAAACACGCATCCTGTGTTCCTCTGACAGTCATTATTATTCAACTTTAATTTTTTTTAAAAACTATACAAGATAAACATTACCATTTTCTTTGGATAATTTCTCAAAACCATCTTCATATAAATGAGTTCGACGAACAACAAGAGAAACACTTGGTTGATTAGACATATTATATATTCGTCGAAATGGATTACGATTATATGTACTACCATCATTGATTAGAATTTTAAATAACTATAAAAAATGAAGAGAAAAAAAGAATTAAGATACATTGCAACACAACATAGCGTGCACAAGACAACACTATGGAAGCTTCTTCGATACTACGGCGTGCCTCAGAAAATAGTCAATAACATACAGAGCTCATATGATGGATTAAACTGCAAAATCGTACATGGAGGACAGGTCTCAGACTCGTTTGAAGTAAAGACCGGTGTCAGGCAACGTTGATTACTCTCACCCTTTATCTTTCTCTTGGTGATCGACTGGATCACGAAGACATCAACATCTGAATGAAAGCATGGGATACAGTGAACATTTGAGATGCAGTTGGACGATCTAGACTTCGCAGATGATCTGGCCCTTCTATCCCAAACGCAACAACAAATGCAGGAGAAGACGACCAGTGTAGCAGCAGCAAGTCTCAATATTCACAAAGGGAAAAGCAAGATTCTCGAATACAATACAACACAACATGCACCAATCCAGTCACAATTGACGGAGAAGATTTGGAAGATGTGAAAACCTTCACATATTTGGGCAGCATCATTGATGAACAGGGTGGATCTGATGCAGATATGAAAGCGCGGATCGGAAAAACAAGAGCAGCATATTTACAACTGAAGAACATCTGGAACTCAAAACAACTGTCTATCAACCAACACCAAGGTCAGAATTTTCAATACAAATGTCAAGACAGTTCTAATGTATGGGGCGGAAACCTGAAGAACTACGAAAGCCATCATTCAGAAGACACAAGTGTTTATTAACAGTTGTCTACGCCAAATACTTCGGATCCGTTGGACAGACACTATTAGCAATAACCAACTGTGGGAAACAACAAACCAGATCCCAGCGGACAAAAAAATCAGGAAGAAGCGCTGGAAGTGGATAGGATATACATTGAGGAAAGCACCCAACTGTCACAAGACAAGCCCTCACATAGAATTCTCAAGGTCAAAAGAAAAGAAGAAGACCAAAGAACACATTACGCCGGGAAATGGAGATAGACATGAGAAAAATGAACAAGAATTGGATGGAACTAGAAAAGAAGGCCCAAGACAGAGTGGGTTGGAGAATGCTGATCGGTGGTCTGTGCTCCATAAAGCATAACAGGCGTAAGTAAGTAAGTATTACAATAAAAACTATTGTCAAATAGAATCCATATCCTGTTTTACAAGTCAGATAGTTATATGAACTTTGTAGGTCGGTGGATAACAACAATATGTTAAACGTTTGAAGTGTAAGGTACTGGATTCGAGAAGAGATGTGAATATCAACATTTGGATGTAGATATATTCCGAAGTCTATTTGTTTTTGTAATATTGTATTCATTGAGCGAAATGATTTATTGGTGAAGCTTTGATTTTCCATTTTAAACTATATCACCAGAAGTGTAAATATGAGAGGAAAACGAATTATTAAATATCCCCTTTCATGAAGGATATGATTATTTTCATACACATAAATGAATGATTATACAATACATAAAAAGTTTAACTGATGTTTAGTGGCCATATATATTTGACTTGAATGAGATCGGACAAATGATCATTATTGAATGATTCCTATTGATAATAAACATATCGCCAATTCTCGTATATAGTTATCGACTTAACTCGCGTTAGTGAATAAGGGAATTAAAACAGATCAAATACGACAAAAGATTTCGAATAAGTATATTTTATACAATCATTAATCTGAACAGACAATCAGAAGGACGAAGCGAATAGAAAAGAGCGAAACGAAACGACACACAGTGGAGGAGTGTAAGCCAACTTCATTTGACGAAGCGTTAATCGATATTTATAGTTATACAAAAACAAGTTGCAGCCATGTGATGAATAGGATAAGATGTGTACACACACATGCACTCATATAAAAACAGTCAATGTTGATAAGTGAATAATTAAAAAAAGATCAAGACGTAACTCAAGAAGAATGAATAAATTGGCCTGTCCACCCACAAGCTGGAATAAGTTATATGGGTTTAACATTGCAACCGAGATTACAGAAGATTAAAGAACTTGTTTTTCAATCCATTTGGTAATAGATTTAAACCCCGTAACCATCGATTTGGGATTGAACGCACGAGTGATGGTATGAACAAGCCACACAATTGTGGAATTAAGCCAAGTAAGTATTATTATTATTATTAATGGTTTTATTCACTATTGTGCTTGGTTAATGACATCCTATACGATCTGCGATGTTCTCAGAGAGTGGAAGGTCATAATTCATAAACATTACGTTATTATTTCATTTGCTGTCGAAGTAACACACTTACCGATTCATATACTCTCAACTTGGAGCAACAATTTAACTCTAAGTATTGTTTCAAACAATACGACAACCAACTAATCCCTGAAAGTAATACATGTGAACAACTAAAAAAAAAAATCAGTAAATTTTATCGACAAAATTGAGGAAACTGATGTCAATCTTATAATCAGAGAAAACTAAACAAACCTAATGAAGATCATTATATCGATGTTAAAGTTGAGCACTTGAATAATAGACAAGTAGAGCACTGGATTTACTCTAATAATAATAATAATGATAATAATAATAATAATTGTGTAGACGAATAGCTTAAATCAATGACAACAATGTAATGAATAGGCAACCAATAATATACATAACATACACACTGTACTTACTTTAACTCGTTTTTCAAATGGTATAACAAATGGAACTTTTTTCAATAATAAGACTTGACGTATTTGACGATTGGATAAAGAAAATGATTCTAGTACCACTGACATTTAAACGAAAAAAACAGACACACAAATCTGTATTAGAAATTATTTTGCTATAGAAACATTTTGAGATATACACAAAGAGTACTAGAAGTGTCATTCTATTGCTGAAGGGAATTGAGAGAATGCCTTTGTTTAATATACCTAGAGTCTTATGTTAGTTGGCTCTATTCAATAAGTTGTACCTGTAAACTTAAGGAAATCGATAATCCCTGTAGGATTCATACTCGCTTTATTCAATTTGAATGTCAGAAACATCTACATACTGAGAGCTAGATAGGTCACAATTGAATCCATTTAAGGATTGAAAGTTGTTTGTACTAAGTTGGATATGGGTGATCATTACTCAGGACAAGCCAACTAACTAATTAATCAATGAGTTCTCAAATAACTTAAGTTTGTGACAACTAATTACTGTAAAAAATCTTCTCAGATCACGCAGCGAGCGCTTAACAGGCCGACCACTGCACTGACACAAATGATTCACATTTATAATTTTAATCAGTTTAACTCTCTACATATCTAAACTCTAACAGTCACGACTTCTCACTAGAAAACTACGAATTCAATCCTCAGTGGAATTCTGAATATGTACTGCTGAGGAATTCCATACTAGGACAAAACGGCTGTGCATTACTTACTGGTTTTCAATGATTATTTAACTAACTTCAGTCAATGATGCCTCTAATCAATATAATATGACAAATAAATGACACTACACTAACCTTGATTTCGATCTGGATTCAAAATACTATAATAACCAAACGGTGCACCAGCTAATGCCAATGTATTTTGATAACCATGATTTTCAAACCATGAAGATTGTGATTCTGTAGTATTTAATAAATCAAATAAGTTATCTTTCAACCAAAATGTTTGACTAAGACTTGGTGTGCCAAGTGGTAGACGTGGTGAATTGGTTACGCGTGCAATATCAGTTGATGAGGATGAGGATGAAAATGTAGATGATGCATTTGTAGAAGCTGTTGTCGTTGTGGATTGTGGATTTTGTAAAAGGTAGATAGGCAGACTAGTATCTTGTTGACGTCGACAACGACGATCCCAATCATAGATTTGAAATACTAACCGTTCAACTCGACGCAGTAAACTACACCAACAATATAGTAAAAGACGAAAATCCGGTATCGACTGAAAGAAAAAAACAAGTTTTATACATACAAAATGAGAGAGTAATCAATTGTTAAATTCAGCTATACGCATAAATACATACACAATTCTGCATAAATCTGGAGAAATGGATTAGCGCTTAGGACGTTCAACTTTCAGCTACTAAGTAGTAGGTTCAAACATACCTCACCTACTTCGGTTTAACCAGCCGCTCAGTATTAGTAGCCCTCAAACATAAATTTACAACGAAATAATAAATTTCATGAATTAGGATTAGACAAATTCAAGGTGGTGAGGATCTAATAATAATGCGATTGAGAGTTGTAGTATTTACGTTCATAATTAACGACTTTGACAGTTAAGTTAATCCAAATCTATATTTGGTAAATGAGTTATACTTTTAAGAGTTAGGAACACTATTGCTTGACTTGTTATATGATGCTCGTTGATAAACTCACAAGTGAACTTGTATGTGAAATGGTTTACAAAATATTTGTTAATGACAGTTCACGAAAATGTAATAGCAATGTATTATTATATTATTTAAGAAAATGTTTTACCCATTGTGTATAATTTCGCATCATTAGATCACCAATAGGTGAACTGCCAAGATCGGCTATTTCGACCCATTGTTCTATTCTACGTAATACTGCACCATAATTTGGTTGTTCCATTGATTCTACACAATGTTTATCTGTTTGTAAATTACAGCGAGTTTGTTTCGGCACTTGATCAGGATGTGACAAATCAATTAGGCCGAGCATAAGATCACGAAGTCTTGCACCAACATGTAATAATTCATCAGCACGAAAACCACAACCTCCTCGTGAGGGTTCACTATTATTATTGATTGGTTGTTGATGACGATAATCGTTGGAGTTGTAGTTCGCTTCCGATGAGATGTCACAGATTTCCGAATCAGTTAAACATAATAAGCGATGATGAAGACAATCAGCAAATGTAAATATCAGTGGAAGATAACTGTTTAAATAAACAAATAAATAGGTTATTTGAAGAGATTGGTTTAACCTACAGGTGTTGTTCATGACAGATTGATAATATTTGGAATGACATAAAATATCAGTGAAACACTGAACAGCAATTTTGTCCCAATGCAGAACACCTTGAATGTGAGTACCCGAAACCGCACTAGGGATCGAACTCAGTAACTTCGGATCTCTCAGAGAATAGACAACCGTTGAAATAATTAAATCCAATAATATCATTCCAAGTTCCATCAAGTGCGGTGACCATTTATAGTCAATAGTGACGGCTGTTCCACTACTAGTGGACACCAGCAAAGTGGTTCTAGTTGTTGGATGTTCAACGCCAGATCTGAAACTCCTGAATTAGATTCCCGGTGAAGTGTGTGAACTGTTAAGGAGATACAGTAAAACGTAACAGCTGTTTTGTAGCACTCCAAACTAGATCAATTTTCAACGATTACTACATGGATGATTGTTATGCTGTTCCGAGTTCACAGACGTGAAAACGGTAGTCTGCATCTACCAACATGGCTCATACCAGAAGTCAGTGACTTCAAATAGTGAAGCCACGTTTTCGTTTGGCCACCCCTAACTTTCTTCCAACCATCCCAAACACTAGTCAGCATTGCACGTCGTAGTAATTGTAATTCAGACATAAGTGACACGTGACCCAACCATCTCAGACGATGAAGATTCATAACCCCACCAATTGATTTACCATCATCATTCCTTAATACCCTGCTCCATAACCTTACTATTACTTACCCAGTGATCTCAGCACATACGAGATTACAACATTCTTTTCAACAATTCATGAAATTCGTTTAGTTGTAAACCATATTGACAGAAGTTTAAATGGATTAACTAACTAACCTTTGAAGTTCCACTAAATGAGTAGGTAATTCACCCGAGCATAAAATATTAAACAATGTAGACATATTGGTATTTGAATAATTTAATGTTGATTTATTTAAACATTTAGTATTTTCAATTAATTTCCATAAACAACGTAAATAGATTGTATACTGTGAATAAATGGAGTTAATGCTGAAAAGAATAAAGATAAAAGAAGAAGAAGAAGAAGAAAGGTAAGAAGAAATGCAAATTAAAAAAGATAATTATTTATTAAGTAAGCATTAAATATAGCATACCAATTAGTCAACAACGACAAAAAAGACAAACGTAGAACCTAACATAAACATGTAGATCGGTTCAAGTTTTCCAACTAGATGAAGATAAATTACCAAGGTTGGAGAAATAGTTGTCTATTTATTTATTTATTTATTTAAATACATGAACATTTGTACAAGGAGGCACCAAATACATATGCGCCACACAAGTCACTTGAATTGTACGCTGGCTGTCATACTGCCCGGTTGCCCGAACTGAATCAGGTGGTTTTCTTAGGGGGTCTCACACCTCGAGCCCTAGACCTAAAACTCTAATCCACAAAACAGTGGAGCAACGTCAGGAGATGTAATCCCATGGTAGTCAGTGACCAACAATAGGTTCATACACCATTTGTTCCTTCAGGATACTGGAGCCCATGTGCACCACTGGTTCGGAATCAGGATTTTCCGACTCCCATAGATGGATCCTCCATATTCATTAACCCGGCTACATGTTTGCGTGGACACACATACATAGGGAGGAGTAATCGAACAATGCAATCAAGGGTCAATGAACATGTGCCTAAATGGCTTCAAAATCAATGTGTGTCAAATGATCCAATCAATGTGAGAGTTATAAAACCAGGTTCATCGATAGTGAAACATATAATTGAAACAGGGCACAAAATTGACATTAATACGGCTTTTAGAACGTTGTATAGAAATGGTCAAGAACGAATTCTTAAGTTTATTGAAGCCTTGGCTATTCGTAAATTTAAACCCCCCTTATGTGTACAAAAACAATTTGTTGTAACCTTGAATTTACCTTGTTAATCCTTAAGTCATTTTATGGCCCAGGACAACGCGACAATTTCTTATTCGTTATCCCCCCTTTTGTTATTTTACTTGAACTTTTATTTAATTGACCTTTATCAATTTTCATATAAAAATGCCTTGAAAAGTATATGTGTGTGACCAGATTATTCGAAATGTATAGCGCAAATACATCACATTTTTCAGATAAACTCCGTCTTCTCATTGTTCTATCGAAGCCCGCTTAGTGCCGAACATTCGTTTTTCGTTCTCTCGATTTTGTTAGTAAACCCTCTGCCGTCAGAAAACAGTGAGTAGGACTTCACTGGCAGTGATTGTATGCACATGACCATGTGAGAGCATTTCGAGAGGGAGAGCTGACTCTCCCCACTCTCGGCCGTACCAGGGTATTTGAGGGCTGGAGAATTAGTAACATTATCCATTAATGGTCATAGAAACGATTAGGTAAAAATAATGTGATTGAATAAGAAAGGGGAAGATAAATTTGTTCAGTGAAAATTAAAAGTATTTTGAAATAAAAAAAAACATCTGTAAAATTGTGAATAATTCTGAGATATGTCACTTAACGATCATATCATGGATCCCAACTAGGTAGTTTGTACCTAACAGCAAAGATTAGTTTAACAATCAAGAATTTTACGAACTGATGCTAAATTTTCATGTGCGGCTGCACGTAGCTTTTTTAAAAACTATTCCTATACGAGTGGACATTGTGTGTCGATGTAGGGTCTCAGGTACCTATATTGGGGAAAATTCAGAATCTAATCAACTGATTCGTTACTCTATATCTCGTACTCTATGTACAATCTCAACATTACTCACTTCACGGTCCTAATACACGTTTCAAAGGTGTGGATGATTAAATACTAGTAACCTGGGAATATTTAGCTGCAGAGGTCATGTGAGAAATACAGTAGAGAGACAAATGACATCGAAAAATGAAAAGTTAAAACTGACATAGAATATGTAGAGCACCTTTTATTGATTAAGATTAGTTCTGATGAAACTAAATCATCGAACCTAATCAGTTCAGTAGCCTGATTACAAATTGTCAATATGATTGTGTAATCAATACGTTGTAATAATGATTCTAAGTGTACGGAATATAAATACCTGAATATATGAGTCTAAAATGAGTACAAAATATCAATCAAATGATTTTACATACCGTATTAATGATGTCCTAGACAGACCACATACTTGAGAAAGGCAATAATGTAGATATGATGAAGAACGAATTAATTCCAATTTATCTGGATTATCCAAATCATTATTGAAATTTTCCAGTGTAGACAATGAGCTAGCTGCTAGCGCCGGTAAACTATGACTTAGTGACGCAGAGATTTTTGCCAGTTGAGTAGCCTAAAAACCAAAAAAAAACAAGGAAAGTTAATCAATGTTTACTTATAAACCTCCTTCATTCGTCTATATAATACAGTATAGATAAACTCTTGGATTCTGATTGCCTATTAGCTAATTTGACAATTATCCATTAGAAACTGAGTCAGGAACTATAACTATAAAATCTTAATCAAAGAGGATGATATATACATAAAATACCTTTTGAGTATGCAAGTGTTCAACTGGGGAATAAATATTTCAATGGTTGAGATTATGAGTCAATTGAAGCTAGACCACAATGGAAAACCTGAAAGCACTGGGTCTGTTGTGAGATAGTAACTCATTGAAGACATTGGTGGATGTGTCGCTCAATTTCGTGGATTGGTTGAGGTTAGACATGAACACCGTTGGATGCTGGCCGGCTCAGTGGTCTGGTGGTTAAGCGCTCGCGTGCGAGACTGATAGGTCCTGGGTTCGAATCTCGCGTGGCGAGGTCGTGGGCGTGCACTGCTGAGGAGTCCCATACTAGGACGAAACGACCATCCAGTACTTCCAGGTTTTCAATGGTGGTCTAGCTTCAACTGACTCATGATTTCAATCTGTGAAAACAAATTAAATTCACAAATCACAGATATTCTTTGTGTATTATGTACGCAATGAGCTTCACTAAATAATGCAATGGTTAGTGATGATAACTGACTGGTTGAACTATGATAAACAAAGAGAGATTTGAAATAACAACCTGTTAGATGGGCGACTCGATGACAAGTACCCGTGAGATTTATGTGCACATCAATAAACATTGAATAGTGGTCAATAGTGAGATGAATAACATATGTTTCGTCTAACTTGGAACTTATGATATAGTTATATATCTTCATGGTATAAATCACATTCTATGTGTGAGGGCTTATGATACTACGCGGTTGACCAAACCGAAGTAAAAAGAGCAAGTTTTGAACCCAGGGACTTAAAGGCCAGCAGTCGAGGACCCTAACCACTAAGCCACCATCCCACATGACCTCTAATTATTAGTACTAAGGTTTCAGGTTCCCCCATCGTTAATATATAATAATGAATTTGGTTAACCTCTTCTATATTGGCATATGGATCAAATGAATATATGCCTTGATATTTATTATATTAGCTGTGTTTATAAATTGGTAGTATTTAGAAGAGAGGTTGGACTATAGTAGGTTAAATTTAAAGTGAATTGTAAAACTTGGTATTTGGTTATTAATGAATGGAATCGCCAAACTTTGATGTTTAACAGGTAGATAGGTGTTCTTATCCATAAATTGATTACTTTAAAGTAAAATTTTTCATTGAACTCATATAGGTTAAAATGTATTCCTCAAAAACTATAAAATAAGTTTATTTTCTAGGAATGATACAATGAATATGAGTCGTTTAAACTGTATGGTGTATTTATCATTGCCGACCAGAGTACCTAACCTGTTAGATACTATCTATTAGTGTTCTTGTGACATTTTAGGCCTCTAGATCTACTAAAACTAATGTAACAATATGGTACTACCGCTGTGATAGGTTCCAACCCCGCTCCGCATAAATTGGTCTGACCATCAAAATAGTATCCATGGTTCTTACACATAAATAGCGTGACTCAAAGCCGAGAATACAAAACTAAATTTGGTAAATGTTTTTAGAAAAATTCACGAAACTCTCATAGTATTCCTAAACAATATGTGCACCACACAAGTCATTTGATTTATGTGAGAGCTGTGATACTATCCGAGTGCCCAACCCGGTTAAAGTGCCGGACACTAGTTTTTCTCTTTCTTAATTTCGTAAAGAACAGCCCTGCCGCGAGACGGCAGTGGTCGTATGCACGTGGCCATGTAAGAGCATTTCGAGGGGAAGATTGGAAACTCCCCACTCTCGGCTGTACCGGAGCATTTGAATTTACTTATATTGGTACAAGGAGGCACCAAATAGATATGCGCCACATAAATCAATCGATCTGTGTGAATGTTGGGATACTGCCCGAGTGCCCAAACTGAAGCATTTTAATTAGTCAAAAATATAAATAACTATCCACTTTTTTTGACGCATCTTAAGTATGAACTGACTGCAGTCTCAATTAAATCATTCAACAATATTAAAGAGAATACAACTATATAACCAAAACTTCAAAGACAAAAACACACATTTTCGACAAAAGCGAAACAAAGATAAGAAATATACCCATACTGGTTGAAACAAGACAGCCTCTGAAATAAGACTACAGTTATTAGTACTTCTAGTAAATTCAGCTGACATTTTCATTTCCTGATCATTGATTTCCACTCCCTTCATTCTATTATGCTTATCATTAATCTTGTTGTCGTCATCATCACCATCGTCGTCATCTGATAATTCTTCTCCTTGTCCAATTCGTAGTTGTAACGGTTTAGGATCAGTAATTGGACGAACAATAGGCAGATGAGGTTCCGTTAAACAACTCATAAGTATCCGAGCAACAAAACGTATCGTTATCGCAGCTTCTAAAGGTGAACCAGACCATGTATAATGTGTGTAAGATTCAGTAGCTAACAGAACTGGCAATGATTCGTCACCTCCTTCTTCCTCTGTCACTGCTTCTTCATGATTATCATCGTCATCAGTATCTTGTATCATTGATGACTCGGTTGTATGGACAGTTGAACTTGATGTGGTTGTGGTTGAATCACATTTTACTAACATGCCAGGTATAACCACAGTCACAAAAAGGTGTAATAAATCTGTTTTAACAATAAAAATCAATGGATGGATTTAAAAACAGTTTTGGGACATTTACTTTCATCAAATACTTCATTCGATCAGTAAGTCATACTCTACCTAGAGCCTGATACATCTATCAGTCGTTTCAAGTTGCCACACCCCGTTAGCACAGATGAGATTTACATTCGTGCACTTGGCACTAGGTTACACTCTATGTGTGAGAGACAGAGTGATACCACTACCTGGTTGACCGGACCACAGTAAATGGAGCTATCTTAAAACCTATGATTTGGCGGCTAAAAGTCAGACACTTCACTCATTAAGCCACCCACTACTCCACAAAGCGGTATGTGAGGAGTCGAAACCGGGTAGCTCGAAAAGCAGACGATTAGTCATTTGATCGCAAACAACAGCCGACCTCTAAAAGCACAAAATTTAAGTACAAGTATTTTGTGGTTGCAAGAATTTAAGTGAGACTACTAAATATATGTGCCCTATGAGTGGGAAAAGTTATACTAATAAATACAGAAAAACTTCACAACATAACCTTACTACTCACTACAAAGAATTAGATGGAAACATTAGGAGTAGTATGTTTACATGGAAGATAAAATAATTTCGGTCAATAATATAGCATAACTGAATACGAGTAGGTGGAGAGAATGAATAAACACATTTGGTGTGAAATAGATTGGAATCAACTTTCGATTCTACTTGATAACATTCAACAACAATCTAAGGTTACCTAGAACTGTGGTCCGCTTCATTTTTCGGCATCGTCACCGTCCACTGTCCATAATTATTGCGTAGACTGTCTCAGTATCTTTCGCTGCTAGCTATATTCGTATCACGCTGGAGTGAAACATATTTTATTTATGTGTCAGGATACATCGGAATGAAAGTTTTCTTCAAATTCCACTGAGTAAACAATTATTTCTTCTGGAAAACCACTATAGCTTTATTTGATTATATCCCTAAATTTTCCAGCGCCACTACAACGCAAAAGCACGTGCTTGATTCGAAGTACAGTTGCATTCCATGCATATACTTTAGAATCATCAGTGACTTAACTGAGCCCTTCTACTGATAACTGATTGAAAGAAAGTCGATAAAAAAGTATCCAACGTAGAGTTCATATTGACGATTATCAGATTATTAGAAAACTCATTTGAAATCTTTACAGGAGTCACTGATTGTCAGAGCGTAGTTGAACCGAACGATCACTCATATCTACTTACTAGAACTCATAAGCCGTATCTAAATGTGGTTCTGAGTAAACTAATCAGTATAATTAGTCATCACTCTTGCCAGATATGATAAATCTGAAATGGTTGTACAGTTTTAAAGGATAATAACCATTTATTTCGATAAAACACTACAAACATTTTACAGGGCGTAACTCCAGTACCTTTCACTTCATAGACTACAATCAGCTGAGAAATAGTTGAGAAGTGCAAACCCTCCCTTTCGAACCCAAAGTAATACCTTTACGTATGAGACTACAGAAGTTGCCGTCATATATTTGATTACTTGAAGTATGAATAATGTGGCTTGTAGGAACACCCAACCCATGCATTGTATAAAATGTCAGAGCTTTATCTAGTGGTACTTGTCTGGTTTTAAAGTAGGTTAACTCATTATTATTATTATTATTATTAATAAGCGTGGCCATTTTTGTTTTCTGATTGATTTTGTTGTTCCCTTTAATTTGCTAAGTTTCCTATGTTCCAAGGATTTGTCGCCATATATACAGAACTGTTCTACTTATGTTCGGAACATACTTAGAGGTCGATCCTCTCTATTGCTTATTAACTTGTGGATTATTAACGTCAAAGTATTGTCATATATCAGTGGATGCATGATCGAGTTAGCATTATTTTACGTTCACACTAGAAGAGATCTTAAAAAGTTTTTGATTAGAAATTATCTTAGATCTAAAGGAATTAAATCCCAAATCGTAGATAATAACAACTGGGTTACAAAAATAGAAGCCCCAACATAATAGTTTAGGGCATAATGTTAAGAAATCTAAGAGCAAGGAACATGATAATTAATGAATTACGGAGTGATGAATTACAGAGCTATTGAAAAACGGCAAAGACTATACATCAATCTAACAGCTAGTTATGCAAACAAAGACATGTATAAAATAACATTTACAAGTGATGCTAATTCTTGATAGCAAACAAAAAATATTTACATATGAGAATTATTGTGAAAACAACGTACTTACTGATAGAAGGAATCAATGAAATAGTTCCATTATGTGGTTGTTGTTGTCGTTGTTGTTCAGTGTTTAATTGGTTATTTTCATTCTCAACCGCTGTTAAACATCCATGAATAACAATTTGATGTAGATTAGGTAGTTTGAACATTTCCATACCAACACTGAGCATAACACGTTCACCGATAATATAAGTATTGTGATCATCAATGGTTGATATGAGAATATCATTTAATGCTGTGAAAACAAGTTCACGATACAAATCGACCATTGGATTCTACATAAATAGAAGGAAAAAAATAGGAAAATACAATAGGACTGTAAGATTTGTGAAGTTCACTTAGCCGACAAGTGAAAATTATATGCATAGAACAAAATTCTTTTTTTTTTTGTATTGAATATCACAGGATAATTATTAGTGGAATCCACTTAGGAGTCATTAATCATCTGAATATACTTCATATATCTAAGCAAGTATTACTTATACTACTAGTAGTAGAGCTCTGCTTCTTTTCATTTTCATGTTACCTTGTTGAGAATGTGACATTTTCAAATATAAAGTATGAAGGAAAAAAAAAAATCAATCTTAACATTTACCAAATCTACATATAATCGAATAAATTTCAATGTGTATCGATTCTTCTAAGATCTCTATACAAACTTGTACTTTTTACTCTAGTTAACGGGTAGAAGAGAAGAGAATATAAACTATTTTGTTCATTGTAAAGAAATTAGAGTTGTAAATAACAAGCTAAGAGCATAAGCGTTCCACAGTTGGCACTTACCAACACAGTGTATCTATTATCTTGAATAATTTCATGTAATTGGTTCCTTTGATAAACTTTCTGAAGTCAACAATGATATATATTTGTAAGATATTGTGAATTCGTTTAATTTTTGTGAGCTCCATATCTCTCATATACGAGTACTTGTATCTTTGCATGCTGTTACGGTTATGAGGGCTGGAGTCACTTCCCGGCTGCTCAAACCGTGGAAGGGTATTTCTTGAAAAACTTGGAAAGGAAATTGGATTAATGTTGGTCTTAACGACCTGGGAGCGTGACCGCAGAGCCCAAGCGACAACTGCTTGAGGCCGTTTGCGCACGGCCCTTGTGTGGGAGGCTTTTGATGTGTTAGCTCCGTTCTTCAAAGAGCCTTACCGCCGGAGAAGGAAATCTGTGAGGTAAGATGAGGTGTGGCATTTTTTGGTCGACCTTTTCCAACCCCTTCCTTCCTTGTGGGAAGGCAGCATCGCTGCAGATGCTGGTTGTCCGAGGGAAACACCTTACTGCTGTCACACCCCTCTACAGTCAGCAGAACGACTTCGTCCTCAGACCTTGAGTTGCTGCTTTTGGTCTTACCGTTCTCCAATCGACCTGCTTGGCATGGTAGAACCTACAGGAACATATGTTCCAGCCAATATAGCTCGGTTGGGTCATCACGATAGGCAAGCCCGACCACCGCGTCAAGGTAGCAGCTAAGGTTGGATAATCCTTATCCAATCAGCGCTAGTCGATACTTGAAGAACACTTTAGAAACTTCTCGTGTAAAAACTATAAACATACTAACGTTTTTCTTATTGTGCTTCTTACTTCCATCTACCCTTGTTATTTGGGATATAATTTCTTTCCTGTCCAACCGTGTTCTGATTTGTGTACTTGTCAAGTGAATTTGTGTCTAAGAATACTAAGCAATAGGAATAGCTGGGTTGCAATAAGAGAGAAATATAACACCAACTATCACTAAACGTGTACTTTTTTCATTGTAAATATAAACAGTCTATATATAACAAGTATAACTGTGAGATAAACATCTAACTACACAGTCGATTACCAATAATTTATTGCCCTTCAATAATAAAACGATAATTAAGATATGATCATAAACAACATGAAGGCATCTCGGAAAACTGAGAATGTTTGGCAACTCTATGTTCAATAATCATTGCCTCTGAAAGTTTACTAGCATCCATTAACAACATTATATTAGTGATGGGGGAGATGTAACAAAGTGTGTTGGGTCACCGTGATGATAAGTTCACAGATTTTGCTATTTGGAAAAACACCAGCTTCAGTGGTTTGCATGTGTCAAGAATGTCATCTTAATGAATTTCACATAATGCAATAATTGTCGACACTGGGACTGGGTGGAAAAAGTAGCGAAGTGATCAACTTATAATATGGTGCTGTGGCACAAAAGAAAGCTTTACAATACTGGCAACTGTCGTTCCATTACGACTACCTGGTTGAGGTCGTTTTAAATATGGCATTACTGAAGAGATTGAAGTGTCATTAAAGATGACTCAGAATATAAGCCAGTAGCTGTAATGATATGATCTACTTAAGGATTCTTCATAAAAGTGAGGGACTTCATTAATTGAAAGAAGTCAGTCAGCTACAACGTAGCACCAGGCACATGTATACATCGGTCCAAGTTGCCATACCTCATAAGCACAACAACGAATTCATAGAAACAGTTACTTCAGTGGTAGTGATATATAAAAAGATTGTATATAAGAATATGATACAAGGAGAAGGAGTTAATTTGCAGAAAGAAATGTATAAAGTAATTTTAATCTCACAGCTTAAAGGAAGACAAAAAGTGTACACACCTACACCATTGTAATTGATTCTGAGCCATGCCACCCAGAATCTCCAACCATTGATTACGATAGTCGCGCGGACCCCAACCAACTAGTCTGCATCTCCCAACATGGCTCAGACAAGAAGTTAATGACTTTATGGACAATGCTACGTTTTGGTTTTGTCGCCCCTAACTAACTGAAAGAAGTCCTTCTTGGTTGTATTTTTTAAACTAAACTCTATCTCCCTATTGTTATTTTTTTTTCACTGCACTTCGCTCACCTGCTTTACCTTTTTTCACAATGTCTTTTCCTTTTATTTTGAGTAGTGCATACTTAGTTTTAGTATCAAATTGTATCAGATTTTAAGCGTATTAAGTAAAATAGAATATTCAATCATCAATCAGTATACATATATGTCATTGAATGAACAACAAAAGAATTATCACTTACAGAAAATGGACTACCATTGTCCGATAGGTTAAAAGCACATTTCAACGGTGCAATTATTAGATTAATAAAAGGACGAGTTTTTGGTAATTTGAAAAATTCCACAGCATCAAATACTTGTGATTGGGTAGTGAAATCTTTAAGGTAACCACCAGTTGTAGTTGGTAATTGTTGATCCATAAAATAAGCCAAATGATTAAAATAATGATGCTTTGATAAATGTCGACAAATCCATTCAATACTGAAGTATAGTTGTTTTGAATATAAAGAGATTTTTGTAGATGAACATGTTCCGATTAAAATGTTGAATAATTCCTCTAATACACGAATCGGTAATGTATAGTTTGATGATGTTGTTAATGATGGAAGTTTTGTTAAATATCTGTAGGGGAAAAAATGAAATAATAAAAGGGATTTTAGTGTTTTACAGCAGCGAAATTAAATCATGTAAGCTGATTTGTATATGGCCCCCAAATGCTCTGGTACAGCCGAGAGTGAGGAGAGTCAGTTCTCTCTCCAAATGCTCTCACATGGCCACGCGCATACAACCACTGCCAGAGAAGTCCTACTCACGGCCTCGTGGCGGGGGTGTTGCTTAAGAAATTGAGAGGACGAAAAGCGAACACCCGGAGCATTAACCGGGTTGGTGGACATGGAGAGTCCACCTAGGGCAGTTGGAAAACCCTGATTTAAAACCAATGGTGCACATGGGCTCCAGTATCCTCAGGGAACAAATGGCGTATGAACCAATCGTTGATCACCGGCTTCCATGAGACTGCATCTCCTTACGATGCTCCACTGCGTTGTGGATCAGACCCTTAAGTCAAAGGCTACGGGTGCGACCCCCTAATAAAACCACCTGCTTCGGTTTGGGCACCCGAGCAGTATCACAGCCCTCACACATATCAAATGAGATTTGTGTGGCGCATATGTATTTGGTGCCTCCTTGTACTAATATCTATGTGTTCAAATAAATAAATAATAAATAAATGTTTGTATATTAGAAAACTGTATAAGATGAGAAGGATTGTTTATTATGGTTTCTGAGCTGTATATGTTTAAAACAGAATATAGACTTTGGATGGTGTTTAGGAATAAAATCCTGGAGCTGAGTTTTGTCCCATTTGGGAATCGTCAGATGAATGTAACAATACCCCCGTATTTATGTTGCCACTGAGACTTGGACCCAGTACCTGTCTCTTCAAATGTTAGTGTATTTTCGACTAAACCACTGAATGCAGATAGCGCGTATCTCTCTTATATGTAAGGGTTTTTATCATCCAATTGTTGATATTAGATGGTGGTTGGAGGTAGTCGACAGGAAACCCTGGACCGATAGCATTCGATCTGCACTAATAAGGACTAGACACGCACGACATTGATCGCCACCCAGTGATCAATCAATTGTGAATTGTTGATATTCGAAACTACATCTAGCCAATCTCTATTAAGATACATGCATTGTGGTGCGGACAGACATAAGTAGTATGTAGCAAGAATCGGAATTGAAATGTTTACCAGCAGGAGATTGGAATTATGAGAAGTGGGAAGAAAACAGAAAGCGATCGGAATAAAAACAGGATTAGAAGAATACTGGAGTATGTAAAGGACAACTCAAAGAAGATATGCAAATAATGTATTGAATGTATGATCATCATATTTTACAAAGGCACTGTTTGATTTTGCATAAAACAATAAATTGGTTTGCCCTACCTCAGTTTTCGTTCACTACAGAATCAAACAGTGTCGAATAAACTATAAATAAAAATTGGCTAGTAGTGAAAAGTAGGCAACATGAAATTGAATTTCAGAATTTCTTCCGAAAGATCTAGACAAAAGTATGTAAAGAAACCTTGAGAAAACATCATCAAAAACACTTTTTAAAGATTAACTATACGAAAGTATTCCTGACTTCAAGCACTGATACCGACATGGCTCAGACTAGATGGAGTTTTGTTCTCTGAGCTGAATAGCTTGGTTCTGGAGTTATTTCATTTAATTCAAAGCCTGTAAAACAATGATATTTAATTTTGTCCCTAGTCTATTCTACATATCCATAAGCTTTCGTTTGATGTATGATTCACTGTCATAGCCCTTTTTGTTCCAAAGCTGTTGTAATTTAAACGTATTATTTTGTACTCTATTTTCTAAGCTAATCTCCAGTTTTGGACATAATTGTATTTTCCTAATTATTGTACGTTGTGGTCGGGTTAGTCATGCGTGTTTTTACACTGACCTGAAAACTGGAACCAGATTGGAATTGGAAATAAATCGTTTCGTGTTCCAGTTGACTTGTCTTCTCTCACTCGCGTGCTTGTCAGCCAATCAGGTGATGGAATAGTTTCCTTCTCTCTAACTCACTTCGAACTCACGCGTACTAGCCTCAAGGTTAAGCCGGTCAGCCTATCGAGTTAGGGTCTTAATCTCGATTAGATAAGTTATCCTCAGCACAAAAATGGATAGACAGATCGAGGACGTAACAAACGTAAAAACAAGAAAGCGTCATGGAAACTTACTTGACGTTGATTAATAACGAATTCCCTAGTGTGAAAATATGGTCAACAGAACCATTAGTTAACCAGTTGACTTGTCCATCTTTTCCATGTTTGGACAATAATAAACGACAAACAGTAAACTACGGTATCAATACAGAGAAAAAAACAAAATTATTTTATAAATGCCAGAAATATACAATTTGATCGTTGAGATCATGAGTCAATTGAAGTTAGACCATTATGGAAAACCTGGAAGCACTGGACGGCCGTTTCGTTCTATTGTGGTATTCTTCAGTAGTGTGCATCTACAATCTCGCCTCACGAGCGCTTAGCCATTAGACCACTGAGTCGGCCGGGATCCAACAGTGTTAATGTCTAACTTCAACTAATCCACGAAATTCAGCGACACATCCACCATTGTTTTCAATGAGTTACTATCTTATAACAGACATGGTTGAAATCCACTGGTCACTGTTTCTCACTAGAACTCCAAGAAAACACGTCTTGGAGACCGTCACTAGTGAACATATATTGATTAATATCAGAAGGGGTTTTGTGAATATTATAGTAATTTTGATAATTGAGAAAAATATATATATATTTGAGAAATAAAATGTATCAATGAGAAATTAATACAGTGGTAACTCAATTGAGCACATACTATTGAAGAGCTCCAGACTAGGACGAAATAGATATCTTTCCTGTCTTCGAACCAATTGTAAATATTACAATATTTTTGTCGCATATTCATGTAATACATAAATTCAAATGTGGCAGTCTCTTGCTCTTAAACAAAAAAAGCTAGAATGAGATTAAATTAACCACCACGGTAGTTCCCTTTGAATTTTGTCAGTAATAAACGAAGTCATAGGTCACATACATACATACGGTTAGCAGACGTAATTTTTCAATTAGAATAAATCTGAAAAAGCGAAATCCATTGCTTTATGTCCACAGTTGAAAAGTAGGTGGTCAGTGGGGTTTCAGCAGGTTCCCTTGTTTCTTCCTATTTGGAACTGTTAATTGTAGGAGGCATCAGTATCTACCTTGGAATGGTTTACCGAAGATTGAAGTCAATGATTCACTGGATTAAGGGGTATTCAATATGTGAGTTTCGGTGGATTATGGTGTCGACTATGGTTAATAGTTTGATGTAGTGTTGTCAGACTATCATATCATGGTGACCCAATCGAGGTATATTGGCTGGAAAATTAGTTCCTATAGATTTTATCATGCCATGCTAGTCGGCTGAAGAGCGGTAATGTTAAAAGTGGCAAATCTAAGAATTGAAGAAGTTATAATGCCAACTTTACTGAGGTGTGACGGTATCAGAATGTTTCCTTCAAACAAACAGCGATCAGTTAGTCATAACATAGAACTTTTACTTATGTACGTCGGTTCAAGTTGTCATACCACATTATCACAGCATGTGAACCAATATTTCCTTCCAAAAAAGGATTTTATTTATTATTTATTTGAACACATAAATACTGGTACAAGAGGGCACCAAATATATATGCGCCATACAAAACAATGAGAATAGGAAGAGAAAAAAAGAGGATATGGAGCGTAAAAGAAAAAAAGCAATAACGACCAGATTAGTGTAAGATAGTGTAATAATAATAATAATAATAATAATAATAATAATAATAATAGGGGAAACGGAAAGGTACAACCAGAAGAAATATTTCAGTTAAGGAAGATACAACCACTTCTTATGAAGAAAGTAAAAGAAGGTTACAGCACGATCGCCACTGGCTTCTATTCTGAGCCATATCTGATAACGCCTCTACCAATGTGTCGCACCATCTTTCGGACCCCTTCAAAAAGGGAGTATGAACTTAAAAGATTTATACCTCGAAAATGGCATACTACACCTTGTCCCATGGTTAAACATTTAACAAACAACTACTTGTTAAAAGGTAGTGTGTGACCGGCCTCAGACGGTTGTCTTGTGCTCGGCACACACGCTCGAAAACCGTCAAGATCATTACTAATCCAGTCTCCTTTTAGGGTTTTTCAAGAGGTATTCTTCCATAGTATGGCCAACCGAGAAGTGACAACCTTCACTACATCTCTGACAACAATTTGGTAGATTATAGTGTTCAACGCAATTAACTTCCAACCATTATGGTTCAGGCTTCCATTTCAATGAATCTACTTGAGTTTAAGGATCCAAATTAGTACTATTGGTCCTTACAGAAAAGTGTATTTCAAAGCTGAGTAACATAATTCCATACTTTATTACTTGAGTTGCATTCATGAAAAAAGGTGAATTGTAAACAGAATGAAATATAAACAGTCTTTCGGTCCATATTTGACTTTTTTTATACAAACAACAAGAAAAAAAACAAACATACATTCTAACTTACAAGATGTTTTTGTTCCGGACTTTTATTACGATAGCATGTATTGAAACATTGAAGTAACTTCAATAATTTATGTTCAAATTCATGCTCCACATTGAAACCAGTTTTATTTATTATATCATCTAATTGTTTAGATAATTCATTCAATAATTCAATAAAGTAACGTTTCTAGAAAATTAAAAGAATGTTCATCAGAGAGAGAAAAACGGAAGAACAAGAAGGATGGAACCAAGTAAATATGTTTATAATAAAGTAACACTACTCATTAAATTGATATCTACATGTTATAACTTGTAGCTTGAGTGCCCTGATCATGTATAACGTAATAATATCGCCAATTAGAGAACAGTAATTTAGCGATTAGACCAATGACGCGTAAAACACGTACGAGCAGTCTAGAGTCCTTATCGGTCCTGCTTCCGGTCTAGCCCCACCAGTTAAATCCAGAACATCAATCTCAGCCTCTGTGATATAAACCATGGATTTCAAATATACTGGGTTTATATAGAAACCATACAGACCACATCGTACCAGTAAATAGGAAACAACATTTGCAGAAGATCTATGGCAACTCGAACTGATGTATGTACGTCGGAAGTTCTACGATGTTACCGACTGACAGTATTATATATTTCACAGGTTGAAATCATGAGTCAGTTGAAGCTAGACCACCATTGAAAACCTGGAAGCACTGGACGGCTGTTTCGTCCTAGTATGGGACTCCTCAGCAGTGCGCATCCACGAACCCGCTCCCTGCGGGATTCGAACCCAGGACCTACTGGCTGGATGCGCACTGCTGAGGAGTCCCATACTAGGACGAAACGGCCGTCCAGTGCTTCCAGGTTTTCAATAGTGGTCTAGCTTCAACTGACTCATGATTTCAACCTGTGAAATTTACTAAAATCTCCACAAAACTCATTCTGATAGTATTATATATGTCAACAAAATGCAAATGATTGGTTAAGTTTAGAAATCTTACCATTTTATTTCGTGCAACGTAATCTCGGAGACATTTTTGAATTTTAGTAGCGGCACGTTCTTGTTTGACCATATTCTAATCAAATACACATAGAAAATGATAGAATTGTGAAATAACACACTTTATTTCATTAACAATATAATGTGTTACTTTGATGAAAAACAAACTATATCAAACAATTTTTGTAAGCAATGGTGGATAGTGGCTAGCAGTGGAATCCAGGACGTGCGTTTCGTCCTATTTGGGACTCATCAGCTGGATGTACTTGCATCTCAGAGTTGATTTCCAACCTGGGACTCGAACCCAGTACCATTCGCTTCAAACGCCATCGCGTTATCCACTCAGCTACTGAGTCCTGATGGCCACTTTCTTGTGCAATGGGGTGAATTTAAATTCACTTGGTATTGTTTGGCTTGTATCTTCCCATTGAGGTTTAAGACTGCAATTGATCAGTTTGTTATTGGCATATATGCATACTGTGCGTATGCCTCGATATTGCCTTAATTCGCAAGCTTTTTGTAAGCAATGATGGATAGTGGCGATAGGACGAAACGCGCGTCCTGGATTCCAGTATGCACGTATGCCAATAACAGACAGGTCAGTTGCAGTCTTAAACCTCAATGGGAAGATACAAGCCAAACAATACCAAGTGAATTTATATCAAACAATATTTATGAGAAGACAAGTTTGATGCTCCTATATAGTTCTTATTTTCATCATATTTATATGTCATTCACCACAAGTATTGTTGTACTGTAGTGAACGAGAACATAAGTGAGAGGACAATCGAATGTATTTAAACACAAATTTACAGAACATCTTAGTAAAACCTGAGAATCATACGCTAAAAATAATCCATTTTTGCAACATGCTAATCAATCATCTCAGGTTTCATTGTTCTTTCGTTTCCACACCAATCATTTTTTGTACTCGTTCTCTTTTCTTCGATCTTCTTAACCTTCTGCCTACAGATATTTCACTTTCCATTGACGATACATACTACTCATATCAGTCGATATCAGTAGCACACACCGCAGTACTCAAAATCAATAAAGCCCCCAAATGCCCTGGTATGGCCGAGAGTGGGGTGGGTTCGCCCGCCCTATCGAAATACTCTCACACGGCCACGCGTATACAGCCTCTGCCAGGGAAGTCCTACTCACTGCCTTTTCACACCAGGGGTGTTGTTTAGGAAAATGAGAGGACGAAAAGCGAATGTCTAGCGCTTTAACCGGATTCCAAACCAAACCAATGGTGCACATGGGCTCCAGTATCCTCAGAGAACAAATGGCGTATGAACCAATTGTTGGTCACCGGCTACCATGGAACTGCACTGCCTTGTGGGTTAGACCATTAGGTCAAAGGCTCGAGGTGTGGCCCCCTAAGATAACCACCTGCTTCGGTTTGGGCACCCGGGCAGTATCGCAGCCCACACACAATTAATGAACTGAACTGTCTATGATCATGGAAACTAATTCTCTTGCTTCGACGAACATTCAAATGATTCAATTATTATTATTGCTATTATTATTATTATTATTATTATTATTATTATTATTATTATTATTATTATTACTTACTGCGTCATTATTCACCCTCCTTTATTCCCACTCTGTTTAGACTTATTTTTTCGACTTATACAGAAGCTCGTCTATGGTGGAAATTCGACTGTACCTAAACGTTCTCGAGTCATTGTCCAGTTGAAAATTGTATGTTACCACTGAATGAGAGGACTGAAGTAGTTTTTGTGAAACCACGTGCACCATTCAAACTGGCTGCCTTCAACGTTCGCACATTTCTGCAGGTCGGACAACAGATAGGGCTGGCTATGTCTTTGGAAAGTCTTAATATTGATGTTTGTTGTCTATCCGAGACCCGTATTCAAGACTCTGGCGAAGTATTACAAATTCGCACTCCATCTGTCACTTCAAAAAGCTTGTTTCACGTGCGCTTATCCGAGGACCCTGTGGCATCTTCGTCTGGTCTTGCCGGTGTTGGTGTCGCACTAAGCGCTAGAGTTGAGGCAGCACTAGTCGATTGGATCCCTATTAACAGTCGGTTATGTGCTGTTAGATTAGAGAGTTCCATCAAAGTGAGAAGAAATCGGCGTGAGAAACGATGTCTTTTCGTCATCTCCGACTATGCCCCGACAGATTGCAGCCCGGATGCAATCAAGGATGAGTTTCATTACCAGTTATCTGTTCTTCTCCAGAAAGTGCGTTCGACAGATATTGTAGTACTAGCCGGTTGTGTACAAGATTGCCGCTCCTTTTGCAGTTCCTATCTAAAATCTGACCATGCCTTGGTCTGCAACAATCTTACCTTACTTTTCAGTGGACAACGAAGTGACCGCCACTAACGGATTGATGTTAGCAAGCTGGTTGCAACTTCTGTTGCAAGTAAGTATCGAACAGAGCTAGCCTCTAGGCTAGCTACCACTCCACCGAAAAGTATAGATGAGCATTGGTTGCAATTTCATGACGCCATGAAAATGGCGGGTACAGTCAGTTGTGGGTTCGCGAAACGTCCCGCTTATAAGCACTGGGTTTCTTCAGGCTCCTTACAATTCATTGAAGCTCGTCGGTCTACTCCGGGTGACCGTGAGTTTGACCATAAACGGAGGATGTTACGTAAGGAAATCGGGCAAAGCTTGCATAAGGACCGAGAAACATGGTGGTCGGAGCGTGCTAATGAGCTGGAAGCAGCAGCTGCATCTGGTAACTACCGGAAGCTCTTCCAGCTCATCCGAGCCACTGACAGCAAGAAGTCTGGTGTGAGCGGAACAATCTGTGAGGATGACGTCTTGGACGGTGGGCAGAATTTTTCGAAGGGCAGTTCAACTGGCCTGCTGCTCCGGCAGCATCGGTCAGACTGTCCTGCCCTCCATGGCCGGTGACGACTGATCCACCAAACGAGGAGGAAGTCCGCAAGGAACTCCAACTCTTGAAGCGTTACAAATCACCTGGCCCAGATGACTTACCTCCGGCTCTTTTTAAAGATCGTGGTGACTTTCTGACTAAGGAATTGACGACGTTGTTTACAAAGGTTTGGGAACTAGAGAGTGTACCAACGTCATGGAATGAGTCGATAGTTGTCCCTATCTTTAAAAAGGGTTCACGTCATTCCAGTAACAACTATCGGGGGATAAGTCTACTTCCGATTGCGTCTATGCTATTGGCTTCCGTCATACTTCATAGGTTGTTCAAAACCCGAGAATGATTGATTCGCGAGGAGCAGGCTGGGTTTCGTTCTGGTAGAGGATGTATTGATCATATCTTCACCCTCCGCCAAATGTTAGAACACCACCATACTTATCAAAGGCCAACAATCGTAGTGTTTCTTGACATCAGGGCTGCCTTCGATTCGTTTGACAGGACTGTTCTCTGGGATTGTCTATTGAAGAAGGGTGTGCCTGAGAAGTTTATTAACATCGTAAAAGCCATATATACAAACACCTCATGTAAACTGAGGGCATACAACCACCTCTCTCCATTGTTCTATTCGAGCAGTGGGGTTGGACAGGGTTGCACAATCTCACTATTCCTCTTCAACTTTGCCATCGATGACATTCTGGAAACAGCTCTGATGGATGTAAGTAATGGTAGTGTGGATCTGTTGCCTGGAGAAAGACTTCTCGTCCTTGAGTATGCGGATGATATTGTCTTGCTGTGCGATAATGCCCAAGGCATGCAATGCGCACTTAATCAGTGTCCGTAAGTATGGTATGTGCTTTGCACCTTCGAAGTGCAAAGTACTTCTACAAGAATGGCAGGATCGTAATCCTGTACTCACCCTGGATGGTGAGCAGATAGAAGTAGTCGAGAAGTTCGTGTATCTGGGTAGCTGTGTTCGATCATCGCTGTCTCCGAAGGATTGCTGACATTCAGTGGCAACACCATGTTAGTAATGCAGAGGTTCTACATCGTGTGTTTGGGCACAGAGACGATAATTCAATTGGTGTCACCATCTTGAAACACCGACTTCGGTGGTTTGGACATGTTCTCTGAATGTCGTCCCAGAGAATTCCACGTCGTTCATTATTTGCCGACTCTAGGACTGGTTGGAAGAAGCGGAGAGGTGGTCAGTGTATGACATGGTGTTGTGGTATGAAAGAACGCTGCAAAGGACTGGCTTGTGTCGGTCCTTCACGACTCCCTGGTAGGGGTCCGAGAGATGGTGCTACACAGTGGCTAGAGACGTTATCAGATATGGCTCAGAATAGAAGCCAGTGGCGATCGTGCTGTAACCTTTTACTTTCATCATAAGAAGTGGTTGTATCTTCCTTAACTGAAATATATACCCTTCTGTTCCCCTACTATTGCTATTATTATTATTATTATTACACTACCTTACACCAATCTCTTCGTTATTGTTTTTTTAATTATTATTTCTTTTTTAGGTTCCTCACTTTTTTCCTTCTTAGACTCTCATTGTTTTGTGTGGCGCACATATATTCGGCGCACTCCTGTACCGATATATATGTGTTCAAATAAATAAATAAATAAAATCAATAAAAATTAGGCCAAATTTAGGAGAAACGGCGGACGAAATTATTAGACATGGATTTTTTCTTTGTTTATATTTATTTACAGTGTCCCTGAAGCGAAATTCCGGAAAAAAAGAGTTGAGTGTTTATTCTGTTGGTGAATGAAACGACAGTTCAAATACTGACGACAACAAAAGTAATAAACGATAACTAATGAACAAGAAGTGATTAAATAACCTATTGATTAACGTTTTGAGATTCAAATCAATGAATAATTAGATTGAGCCCAATTGGAAATATCAACAGTACGATGTAGATACACCAGTTTGACGAATAGCACTATTAAAATGTAGCATGAAAGTACATTCAAATCAACAAGAAAATCATAAGTGGAGAAGAGGGATACGAAAAATATACAGTATAAAGGTGTTTAATAACTAAAAACAAACACTATGAACTAGTTCTTACTACTGTAATCATTTTTGATTCATTTCAGCTAATCTCTTCGACTGGATAGTGTACAATTTTTCTGTTACGTAATCCAAATCCACAATTATTAATTTCATGAAACCATTTTGTTTAAAAAACTAGATCATATCTCTAACTTTCACATATCATAAGATTTATCTGAAAGACGTTATTCAATATTCAGTCTTTATCCATTTTTTTATTCAGAAAACAAATCAATTTTTTTAATTAAAGAAATTTCAATTCGTTCATGAACGAACTGCATCTCTGTGTTAATGTGATATGACAACTTGAACTGATGTACGTACGTACGAAGTTCCACGTTGTTACTGACTAACTGACTGACTGACTGACTGACTGACTGACTGACTGACTGACTGACTGACTGACTGACTGACTGACTCATGAACGAAACAATGAATAAGTATAAAACAAACCATAATGTTAATTTCATATTTTATTTTAGATATCTAAATTGTATTATATAATACTTACTTCACGTGACTTTCGTTCTTCACGTGTTTTTTGAACAAGCGCATGAGTTGACAACTGTGAAAGTGTGTAAGGATGGAAAAAACAATTTATCAAATAAAAAAACATTGATTAAATATAATTGTTAGGGATTTCTAATTAAGTTTGCCAAAAATAATAATAATAACTAACCTTAAAATAGGAAAATTAGAAACTATAAGTATTTTATGGTAAAACAAGAAGGATGAATCGTCCTGTCTTACATTACGGTTAAGACATGATCAATCATAGGTTACTTGTATATGATCATAGATGCTTTCAAAGCAGTACTCATGTATACTGAGACCACTAAGTGATTAATGCTGAGATTAGATGGATGGTGTCAGGTAAAGATGATAAATCAGTTGATGATATGGTGAACCTCGATCGATTGTGGCACTTGGGACATGTATTGGAAGACACCCGTAAGCTACTAGTATTTGACCACAGATGCCTTAGAAATATTGCTGGCATCTGCTGGGATCACCGGGTAAGTAATAGTGAGGTTAGACGCAGGGTATTAGGGAATGATGGTAAATCAGTTGATGAGGTTATGAATCTTCATCGACTGAGATGGTTGGGCCACGTATTACGTATGCCTGAACACCGATTACCACGACGTGCAATGCTAACCGGTGTAGGGGATGGTTGGAAGAAAGTTAGGGGCGGCCAAACCAAAACGTGGCATCAGTGCCTGAAGTCACTAACTTCTAGTCTGAGCCATGTTGGTAGATGCAGACTACTTGGTTGGGGTCCGCGTGACTTTCGTAACCAATGGTTGGAGACTCTTGGTGACATGGCTCAGAATCGATCACAATGGCGTCGGTGTATACACTCCCTGTCTTCCCTTAAACTAAGAGATTAAAATCACTTCATATCTTTCTTTCTACCAACTAATTCTTTCTTCCTATACTATATCCTTATTGCAACCTTTGACCTAACCACTCCTATGAATCCGGTGTTCATCTTGCTGTGCTAATGAGGTATGGCAACCTGGACCGATGCACATATGTGCCTGGTCCTACGTTGTAGCTGACTGACTGACTGATTGGGTATGTTTAATCACTACCAACCTCGACTCGTAATATTTGCTGGTATAGGGGTGAGTCAAAATAAAGCTAGAAGTAGCTAAACCAAAACTTGGCATCAATTCAAAGAGTCATCGACTACTGGAGTAAGCCGTGTTGATAGATGGAGACCGACCGGTTGGAATCTGCGCGAACATAATAACCGATATCTGAAGGTGTTGAATGATACAGCTCAGAATAGTTTGCTATAATACAGGTGGATTCACTTTGTTTTCTACTGGATCTTGAGTTTTAAAGTAATCTTAAACTGTTTATTCAGTGAACTTATCCGTCACTCATCTTGAATCAGATTTTCTTAGCCTAGTTTTTTCTACTACTACTGATATTGGGACTACTTTCATCATACTGGAACTTTTCTTGAGGATTTCATCTCACCGTGATCATGTGGTGTAACAACTTGAACCGATGCATATATCTGCCAGGTTTCACGTTGCTTGTGTCTGTATCAAGGAGGATGAGAGATGGAAAACAACAGATTCAACCAATTGGTTCATCGTAAGTAACGCAGAACCTAGTATAAATGTGTATCGGTCCAAGTCTACACGCCAAATCAACACAGCAATACGAAATTATCAGCTAATTATAATGTACGACAGGGCATAAATATGTAATAGTAAGGTTACGATTATTCACACCAGGATAGTGATAGGATAATAGCAAGTAATAGAAAATGGAGAATAATGTAAGATACAGTGGAAAGCTAGAAGAAACATAGAGCAAGAAATTACACTAACCTCAAGCTTTAGACTCTAAGAGGAGGATACATAACACATATACCACAGTTACTGTGATGATTTTCGGGTCCCATCACATGGCTGAACGTCTCCAAATACATGTCACAATCCCATAGTTTCACACCACGGGATTACTTTAGTTAGACAACTGAAAACCAAGGAGCACTGAACATTTGTTTCGTCATAGTGTGGGACTCCTAACAAGTATTTATCCACGACTCTACCTGGAATCGAACGCAAGACCCTCACACCTCACGATGAGCATTTAAACTTCACACAACTTAACTGGTATTTGATGGTTCACATCCCTAAACTCAGTTTACTCGTGGTGCTGCGTGACCCAAATTCTAGCCCGGAAGTCTCCGCTCAGTGACACAGACCAGTCCAATGATTAGTGCCTTCGTAAATTGACTCCAAATCTTGATTTGTCCGTTTCTAGAATATTTACAACTTCTGAAGTAATTATCATTTGGTATCGGGATGAGCGGTGGTCGGAAAATGTGATACACATATCTAGGATGATGAGTTTAAGGTATAATACCTCATATACTGATTTATCATATTAACTCAATATCTTCAGCCAAATATAAATGTAAATTACATGATGGTCTAATTATACGCTAGCAATTTTTTGAAGACATGCACAACCAAATACTAGGGATTTAAATATCACTTTACCTTGATAAAAATTACATATTAATCAATATAATTTAACTATTTTGTGAGAATAAATTATTCACAACGAGATAAAGTTGTAGTGTAATTCGAACGTGGGACCCAGTGGCTGAAGGTTGAATATTTCAACTATAAGTCACAGCTTCACATCGCGGAGTTAAATGCTAAGTACAACAGAATGGCGAATAAAACCAACAGGTTGAGTGGAATTGAAATGACCAGTGGTTATCCAGCTGCTAGCACACTTAGTTACAGAGTCTAAAATAGATAAGGTACTTACAGTTGTTCCACTCAATCACATTCTTCAATTCGCGTGTTGCAGTAAATCGATCGAAATGATAGGGGAAATTTAGACTAGTTGAACTGTCTAATTATATACCAAGAGATTTATATCTTAGGTCAAGGTATTTTGCGCAGTACTATTTACCATATAACTAATACAGAATAACATTAATATACTTGAGTAGTTTGTGATTGTCATGAGACAAAATAATTCAACTGCTGGTGTTAAAGGTAGTAGTTGTCAATCTAATTTCTTGGTACTTGATTCGAGTAAGAAATAAAACTAACAGTCTGGTCTTAATTAACTGGCAAGTGAGTGGCCTATAAAACTCATATACTTCAATAACTTATGACATTTAATCATATTTATTGTTGTATCTAGTGTTTTGTACATAAATATGTGGTCACTAAAAATACTGCATTAGCTAGTTATCTTGTCTTTTGATATCAATCCAATTGTGGCCTGCGTCTACAACTTCGTTTGGTGAACAATTAATCGTCAGTTATATTGTATTATCAATAAATCAACATCCTAATTATCCATTCAACAATTTAAAACCTATTCACCGAACTTAAAACCTCCCGCGCAACAGTACTCCAAAGCAATTTTAAGATGGTAGCTTTCAACTCCCGAACCGATATTTCACACATTATTTTCATTCTCTACTCCAAGTATCATTCCTATAGTTACTAGCGGTATTTCAATAGCACTATGTTCCCCATGTTTTGTTTACAAAATATGAACTAGACACATTTGTATCCTATAGATGAATTACGTTTGTTTTTTACATAATGAATACATCTTACACAGTTTGCATGTAGCCAACAATGATTCTGTGAAATAAAACGAATTTATCACAACCCGCAAATGTTATGTTTGTTAAAATAAGTAAATGAATACATGAATAAAGCATTACCTTTTGGGTATGATCAAGCACTAATGATCGCTTTGATTTGTAATTCCCTTCAAATGAGTACATTTCAACGTATATTTCCAAACTTATAATAGTATAAAACCTTTCCCATTCACAATAATCCAAAAAGGGAAAGTCATAACAGACCTCTTGTTCTTATAGTCCCAAAAACACTAAGGAATAAAAAATGTGGACAGTGTTTTATTATTACTCCTGAGTATATCTACCCTTCAAATAGTAAGGAATCATCTATCCAGGTAAAAAAAGATTAACCACGGACTAAAAAGTTGCTTTCACTTGTGAATTTGTCACTTATAGACCAGATATTGAAGAAGACTTTTCGGTATATTTATTATTAATTTAAACACGAAAACATTGGTACAATAGGGACCAAAACATATATGCACCGCAAAAAGTAGTCATCATTCACTTGGCGTGTGAGCTGAGATGATGTCCAGGTCGCCAAACCGACACAGGTGGTCTTCTTAAAAGCTTACTCCCCAAGCTTTTGACCTAAAGGTTTAATCCACAAGGCAGTGGAGTAGCGTTAGGAGATGCAAACCCCAAATGCCATGATACGGCCGAGGGTGGGGAGAGTCGGCTCTCCCTCTCAAAATTCTCTCACATGACCACGTGCATACAACCACTGTCAGGGACTTCCTAATCACTGCCTTTCCGCGGCATTACTGTTGTTTACAAAAGTGAGGGGACAAAAAGCGAATGTCCGGTGCTTTAACTCGGTTGGTGGATCCACCTAAGGGAGTTACAAAATCCTGATTCCAAACCAATGGTGTAAATGGGCTCCAGGATTTTGAAGGAACAAAGGGTGCATGAACCGGTTACCACATGACTGCATTTCCTAAAGCCGCTCCACAGCCTTGTGGACTAAAAATCCAGGTCAGAAGCTTGATGTGTGGCCACCTAAGAAAACTACCTGCTTCGGTTTGGGAACCAAGGCAGTATTCCAGCCCTCACACAAACCGAGTGATTTATATGGCGCATATGTATTTGGTGCCTTCTTGTACCAATGTTTATTTATTTAAATAAATAAAAAAAAATAAGGGGTGATCAACATTAGGTTCGTTCACCATTTGTTCCCTCGGGATCCTGGAGCCCATGTGCATCATTGGTTCAAAATCGAGGTTTCCCAACCGCCACTGGAGGATCCGCCACACCCACCAACTCGCTTTAAGTGCCGAACATTCACCTTTCATCTTTATAATTTAACAAACACCCTCACCACGAGGATTTAGTAGTAAACTGAGACTTCACATACTTGTTTGTCTTGAGCTTGTCAAAAGCGAATACACAAAATCTTATTAAATCAAAGTTAATAATTTCGCAGATAACTACCGATGTCCGTATTAAGCTCATAACTTTAACCTTTTGCTTGAAAACATAGTGTCAACCACCCAACAGTCTTATTTGATAGATTAAATCGACTAAAAGGAAGTCATTTATTTGACACGATAGTTCTAAACTACTACTCCTGCAGAGCGGAAATAAAACAGTAGAAACTATAATTTATAGGCAAACTGGTCAGATTAAAGATAGTATATCTTGGATTTTGATGCAGGACTTGTCCACCAATTTGGTCAAATACCATTTTTGGCATTATAGCTGATATTAGTTCGTGATGAAAACATTAAATTCTCAACCTCACGTCCAACCGTAAATCCTAATTCTAATCCCTCATACCAATTTATAGCCCTCATTTAACTCTAGTAAGTAGGCGGACAGTTCAAGGTCAATTTATTGTTCAAAGGTCGCCTATTGATTGTCTCACCGAAAAAAACTGCAAGGAATAGGTAGAACGTTTTACTGTCAAACTCGCGCTCTAACATTTTAAGTGCAGGGTCAGCTCAAAAGTCATTTTATCGCGGTGCAAAACTTTATATGTGTCTGAAGACTATTAGTGTTTTTGATTTGTGACATGTCTCAGATGGGATTTTAGGATATAGAACAGTCTTACTCCTTTGAAGAATTCAAATATCTTAGGTTGGACACGGTCCTATCTAACTGTTAAACCCCCACTAGGACTAAAACACTTATTGTACCATGGTCCACAAAAAGTCAACTGACCAACAGCCGCCTTCCTGATTGACCCTCATAACAGGTACATATTAACAATCTTCAAACTCAAAGACAACATAAACCACAAGAAGCATTCAGTTTTATGTTTGGAATTTCGATTTCGGTTGTCTCATAGAGTTTGGTTATGCGAAATGGTGTAAGTGTATTTCTTGATCCCCTCAATGCCTAAAGGACGAAATAACTTAGACATCAAGTTTTCTTAGAGGAATTAGCAAATTGTTTATTCCTTGTGATCTGCATCTGAGTAGTTAGAAAGTGCTCCTAGTCACGTGTAAACGGTCGAACCTGCCATTTAATAAAATTATGACAAGTCACAATCACTACTTATGGAATCAAAGGGGATTTTGTTGTTGCTTGAGAGAATTTCAAAAATAACGTATGATTAATTGGAAACCAAACAAGAATGGGGATATACTCCCGAGTTAGCATATAGAGTGGTGGCTGTGTCATTTTCTACGGTGATTAGTTCCATACTACATGGAGACTGTACTACTACTCAACAGAACTCCCAGAAGTGATCGTGAGAGCTGAATTGGTGTACAGGAAATCGTAGCACCTATAAAGAACACCCGTATATGACCCAGCCTACCGTACTGAGGGGAGCAGCTTCATCCTTGGCAATACTGCTTAGCGTGATGTCCCCACATTCGCAAAGACGAAGCACATTACCAGAAAGTTGGAATCTAACTTACGTCACACATATTTTCTAAAGAGGTCGACGCAGCAAAACATCAGGCTACCGAACCGCAGCACTACTATTAATACTTTTGAAAATTATAGACTCCCTGATATATGACTTTCTGTGTGACTATTTAGCATCCGTAAACTTCTTTTTATCTCAACAGCACGGTTTCAGAAAAGGTCATTCTAATATAACCAATCTTCTGACCGAAGTGGACAAACGGACAATCGTGCTTGATCACACTGGGAACGTTGGGGTTATATATTTTGACTTCTCAAGAGCTTTTCATATGGTCAATCACATATGTCTTATCAATTGGCTCACTTCATATCTAAATAGTGGGCGTTTTAAGATCTGGATTAACGTCATTTTTCTCAGCCTACAGTAATAGGACCTCTTCTTTTTTTCATTTAAATAAGTGGTCGTCCACAGGATTGTCGTCGGATTCATCGTTTTTCGCTGAATACGTGAAACTCTGGAGATAAGTATGCTACAAAGAGGATGAATTGGCACTTCAGGACGATCTGATTCGACTTTAAAGTTGTGCTGACAATAACGGAATCATCTATGGCACTTTAAAGTGTAAGGTTGTTCATCTGAGACATGCTGCAGGCCACAAACACAATTTAGTCAACTCCCCTCTAGAAGTATCTAGGTTGAAAAGGATCTAGAAGTGTTATTACGCTATGATCTGAAGTCCTATGTTAACTGCGACAAGAATGCCTTTCGAGCAAGCCTTGCACGGCTGAAGTTGAAGCGCGTTCTTGTCCAGTTCAATGATAAAAATTTCCATATAGCCCTCGACAATTTTATTCGACTCCACTTAGGGTACGGAAACAGTATTTCCTCCCTCACTCCAAGAGGATAAGTATACATCGGAACGTATTCAATAGCGAGCCACGAAATTAGTTTGTGGACTCAAATTCGAGTAGTGAGACGATCGCCTCCAATCAATGAATCCTTACTCATTTGAATGCAGGCGTCTTAGAAGTGTCCTAATGAATAATAACATCCTAAACAATTTTGGACAACCCCTTAACCACCTAATTAAGCACAGTCTCAACACAAACCTTAAGGTAGCACCCAGAAACTGTATAAACAACGCAGCAAAAAGGACTCTAGGCACACTGTCTACTCCGTTAGAGTTGACAAATGTTGGAATTCACTGCCGATTGAGCTAGCCCAAGCGACTTTCCAGGAGTCCATCAAGAGGAAACTTAATATAATCTTAAGGACAGTATCTCGCCATAACTTACTAATCCCTTTCTCGCTTTTATCGTTAAAAATACCTAGGTTCTTACATAGAGTCTTCGGTGATATACTGTTACTAGATACGAAGGCTCATTAAGCGAGAGCTTTTTCTATTCCGTCTATAACCACGAAAGTCGATGCAGACAACACTGGATATGAAGATATCATGAACACATGAACTGGCTGGGAGAAAGGAACGAGATTGTCGACTGATTTACCTATTTGTGTGCATTCAACAACATGGCCGTAGGTGGGACTATATTCTCCCACAAACACGAGGCTACATAG